GTTAAAGAAGAAACATTCATCCAAACCAGTAGGAGGGGCGGAGACAGACAGCCCGGGCAGAGAGGACATGCGGCAAGGCGGCGGCTGGTGGACCCAACAGTCCTATATTTGCATGTGGATAAACCGGAGGAGCAGCTGGGGAGCAAGACAGATTACGCAATCCAGGGTTCCAGTGCAGGAAAAGAAAGCCTCAAAACCTCTGGGGGTAAAAACCTGTGGGGGTTGCGGTGGCAGGAGAAACTCCCAGACTAAAAGAAGAGTCCATTGGAGAGACCCACGAGGTCCCAGAACGTACACAAACCCACCCACCTGGGGAATCAGCACCAGAAGGGCCCAATTTGCTTGTGGATAGTAGGGGAAGTGACTGACAGCTGGCCAAGAGCTGAGCAAGCAGCATCATTTTCTCTTGGACCCCTCCTCCGGGCATAGTATCACAACGCAGCGACCTAAGTTGCCCCACTCAAGCAAATACCTAAGGCTCTACCCCTTACAACGTAACAGGTGTGCTGAGACAAAAAAAACACGGACCAAATGAAAGAACAAATCAAAACTCCAGAAAAAATACAACTAAGTGATGAAGAGATAGCCAACTTATCAGATGCACAGTTCAAAACACTGGTAATCTGGATGCTCCCAGAAATGGTTAAGTATGGTCGCAAAATGGAGGAAAAACTGAAGGATATGCAAAGATTTCACTTAATAAATAAAAATATACAGAGGACCAACAGTGGAGGGAAGGAAACCAGAACTCAGATCAACGATGTGGGGCAAAAGAAACACTCAACCAGAACTGAATGAAGAAACAAGAATTCAAAAAAGTGAGGAGAGGCTTAGGAACTTCTGGGGGCAACTTTAAACGTTCCAACATCCCAATCATAGGGGTGCCAGAAGGAGAGGAGGCAGAGCAAAAAATAGAAAACTTATTTGGAAAAATAACGGGGAACTCTCCCAATCTGGCTAAGGAAATAGACTTCCAGGAGATCCAGGAAGCTCAGAGAGTCCCAAAGAAGTTGGACCCAAGGAAGCACACACAAAGGCACATCATAATTAAGTTACCCAAGATTAAAGATGAGGAGAGAATCTTAAAAGCAGCAAGAGAAAAGGAGACAGTTACCTAGAGTTCCCATAAGACTGTCAGCTGATTTCTCAAGAGAAACTTTACAGGCAAGAAGGGTCTGGAAAGAAATATTCAAGTCTTGAAAGCCAAGGACTTACATCCAAGATTACTCAACGCAGCAAAGCTATCATTTAGAATGGGAGGGCAGATAAAGTGCTTCCCAGATAAGGTCAAGTCAAAGGAGTTCATCATTCCAAGACCTTATTAGATGAAATGTTAGAGGAACTTATTTAAGAAAAAGATCAAAACTATGAACAGTAAAATGATAACGAACTCACAACTATTGACAACTGAACCTAAAAACAAAAACAAACAAACTAAACAAACAACTAGAACCGGAACAGAAACACAGAAATGGAGATCACGTAGAGGGAGTGGGGTAGGGGAAAATGTACAGGGAATAAGCAGCATAAATGGTAGGTACAAAATAGAGGAATGTTAAGAACAGTATAGGAAACGGAGAAACCAAGGAACTTATGTGTATGACCCATGGACACGAACTAAGAGGGGGAGAGAATGCTGGTAGGAGGCAGGGGTGCAGGGTGGAGGAGAATAAAGGGAAGAAAAAAGTGGGACAACCGTTATAGCATAATCAATAAAATATACCTTATAGTAAGTAAAAATAACTGTAAAGAAAAGAGAGAAAATCTGAATAGTCCTTTTGAAACGGAATCCATATTTAAAAGCCTCCTAAAGATCACTCCAGGTCCAGATGATTTTACTGGCGAATTTTTTCCCAGTAAATAATTTACATGGAGAAAAGCAGAAGTGTCATGAGATGCAAAGGCAGCCCGAGATAGAGAGCAAACATCTGGCTCTATGTCCCTGACCTCTGTTTCTGCGGACCTCTGTTCTAGGTCTGCTACATGAATTCTAAATGAAACACCTTATTTCTTAAGTGATCCAAGTCTCTCTTTCTTGAAAATAATACTCAAGTTTTGGAAATCTATGTAGCAATCTATTGCCGACCTGTGGTCTACTCCTTGGACACAGACACAATTTGGGGAACGGAACGGACTCCAGCTTCCTAGCTAGGCTCTGATTTGTAAGCCAGTCACCTTGATTGCGTTTCTCCTGTCAGTGACTAGTTTAGAAAAATCAGGACTTCGGGACAAGTTAAGGATCTTGCATATGTCAAATCTTATATTAATGAAATGCAAGGAATAATATGCTGAGGCTTCTGAAAAATTTTAACACTCAAGAGAGGTAACAGGAAGCATTTTTTCCCCCGAATGATGGTGTATATATAATAAGGTCCAGAAATAGACACCCAGCTCCAGTCTGAAAAGAAAGGGAGGGAAGAGTTGAGAAAATTACATACATACAGACCTGGAGTAACATGAATAAACCAATCCTGAAAACCCAGCCTATCTCTGAGTCAATTTCCTTTGAATTGGGTTTTATCTTTCTTGTAACTACAAACATCCCAAGTAAATTAATATTTCAGAACTATTTTAAAACACATTTCATACTGCCATTTTACAAAGTCACTCCCAAAGTTATAAGCTAGGCAAATCTGCATTTTGTCTAAAGAAAGATGCACCTTACTTTAGACATTTGTGCTCCACGGTGGATCCCCACTGGGATGTTTGTCGCATACCGTATTATAAACTGGGGGGTGGTGGCTGGTGTGTGAGCAAACCCATTACGACAGTACAGTTGACTGCTGAACAACATAGTGGTTAGAGACGCCAACTCCTATGCAGTCGAAAATCCACGTATAAGTTTGTACTCCCCCAAAACTTCAGTTGTCCCTTGTTGTCTGTAGGGAATTGGTTCCGAGATTCATAGATGCTTAAGTTCCTTTTATAAAATAGGGTAGAACGATGTGTGTAGTCAGCCCTCCACTTTCATGGATCCACAACCAATCCACTGTTGGTTGAATCTGCAGGTGTAAAACCAGGAATACGGAGGGCTGATTACAGATTTATTGAACAAAAATCCACTTAAAAGTGGACCTATGTAGTTCTTACCTATTTTGCTCAAGGGTCAACTGTATTATGAACACAGAGACACTACTTGGCATCTGCTTAAATTCATGCTGTCCTGGGATGTTGTATCTGATAAAGACAGGTCAAGGGCACGTGCTGCAGGGTGGGTCTGGAGACCTGGCATATTCTTCAATGGACTGGTTATTATGTATTCACAGTGTTCTCGGGAATAAATAGGAACCGTGGACCAAAGAATTACTTTTCCTTTCAGGGACAATTTACTGGGCAACTAACACTGAATGATTAATCTTAAAAGACTTCCAGAGAAGATGGAGTCATCTCTAGCCACCTGTTAATGTATATCCTGAGAAATTACAGAACAACCTAGGGATCTTCTTGCACCAAATTACATTTCCCCCAAGTATGAAGTTTAATTATATTTCGTTTCCTTTAATAAGCACATATGAAGGGGGGGAGAAGGCAACCTATTTTGTGAGATTCATAGCCTACAGGTTAGCAAAACATGTTTGGAGGCTCTGGGAGGAAAAATCTTAAGGGAACTGTACTTTAAAAGTAACAAAGAGGTTTTATGGGACCCAAATTTCACATCAATGTCCTTTTGAATCTCTGGCTCACATAGACAGAGAATTCCTTCTTTTGAACATGTTTCATTTAACCAACATATTTCCTGTCACTAAAAAGAAAAAATATTGTCCTTTAAGACTAAATACCACTCCTTTTCCAGTTGTGCCACAAGGTGATCCTGGGCAGGAAGAGAGCATATCATTTGGGACTCTGGGTTGTAATAGTTAAAAATGACTCACTAAGGCTTAACACATGATTTAATCAATAGTATGTCTTATTTTAAGTCAGCTTGCCTTTATTATATAGCAAATCAGCGGGTTAGTACCCATGCCAAGCTAGCATTTGCCTGATTTTGATGACTATGACCTAAATGTTCTTTCCTTTTTGAGTAATTAGTGTACATACAAGGCTTGTCTGGGAAAAGCCGTCATTGTTAACATCACCAGAACGGTTTGCGCGACATTGATGTAACCTGGCAGCCAAGGAGAGTGGACTGCAATGTGCGTATGTGCACAATAACAACTTCACTGAACTAGTCAGTGGGGGGGTGGGGGGATTGGCAGACGCCGTCAAGTGAGCATGTGTGCTGTGTGGCCGTCATATTCAAAAAGACTAAGCCAAGAAAGAAACGAACCTGCATCAAATTTTGCGTTAAGCTTGCACATTCCTCCACGGAAACTACTTGGATGATTCAGAAGGCCGCAGCTATGGGCAACCGGTGATAGACAGCTTCATCACAGCAATGCACCTGCTCACGCATCACCTCCGGTGACTCAGCCCCCCTACAGCCGATTCGGCACCCTGCAACTTCTGGCTTGTCCCAAAACTAAAGTCACCTTTGAAAGGAAAGAGATTTCAGACGGTCGATGATTCAAGAAAATACGACAGGGCAGCTGATGGCAACTGGGAGAACTGTGTGAGGTCCCAAGGTGCCTACTTAGAAGGGGACTGAGGCATCATTGTCCTATGTACAATGTTTCTTGTATCTTGTACCTTCTTCAATAAATGCCTCTATTTTTCATAGTACATGGCTGGATATCTTCTGGACAGATCTCATAAATGTATTTTTATCATCCTACATGCTCCACCTAATATTTTACTGTTAATATGACACAGATAAGTTCCAAAGATGTAAATGACAGCCTTTCTACCAACCATAGATATCCTTTTAATACAAAATGTGTACATTTCTATTGTAAGATGAATTGTATGTTTACAGGCCAAAAATTGTCTCAAATGATTATTTCAGAAGCAAATACATGTTTTTGAAATATTCTATGCAGAGCTTAATATGGCTCACCCTAATTTTTCTTAATTTGACAAAAATGGACAGAAGGCAAAATGAAAAAATTTTATTTCCTCAGTGTTTATCCACTGTCAATGCTGTATTTTTGATGCAATATATTTGCAAAGATAAAAGAAACAACTCAGCCTTTATTTTCCATTTTCAACAACTACAATATTTACAAAATTTAGAATAACACACACACACACACACACACTCACACGTGAGTACATATACTCTTATCTCTGATTTATACTGAATGCTGGTAGAGGCAGTGAAGCCTTTCGGAGCCCATGATCAGAAAAGAGAAAACCGCTTCCTGTCCTCACATCCCCCGGCCTAGCATCCCTGTCAGTATCTTCCCTTCCATTTCCTCATGCAGAGCTCATTGCCAGGCTTGTACAGGGTTAAGGTAGTCTGTTTTTACAATTTATTTTAACTACAAGTTTTTAAAAAGCATAAGCAGACATCATTTTGCCCCCATTTCTATTATTTTGGTTGTAGAATCAGGCTTCATAATATAATCTTGTTTAACCACGATTACACCGAACCCAAGAGCTACGTGGGGCAGCATCTCCTTCTCTATTGCTTCTCCGCTGGGAATTCCAGATTATCAGCCCATCTGTGCTAGGAACGCCTTGGGTAGTCATCCTTATCACAATCTTGGATTATCTTTGTTCCTTATCTAGCATGGCTTCACTGAGTCATAAATTGTCAGGTATGGAACTGAGGCATAGGGAAAAAAAGTATAACCCTATAAAATATGTTTGAGTCTTAGAATAGAATTGTCATATAACCCAGTGATGACAATCAGCTCTGGTTCCCCCCAAGAGTGTCATGTTGCTTTCACAAAATGGCAGATCATGAAGTTCAGCTCACAAACAGAACTTATTTACTCTATTCCAGAAAGAATAGGTGGCTGATAAGCAATTACGAGAAATTCTTATCACACATGACTTTTATAGATGATACTGATGAGGTGATTCAAAGCAGAAAATATACTTGTTTTAAGCAAAATTAATGCTCCAGTCACACACCTACCATATCTATTTGTATAATAAATCCCTTCTCACACTTCTTATGTAAAGATTTAACAAGGTAAAAATGAGAAGATCTAGATGTGTTTATCAGCTAGGTTTTTTTTAAAAGAGAAACAAAGGCTGGTTTTCTAATATTAAAAAACCCCACTATACATATCCAACATATTAAAATTTATGCTGCACAAATACATGGTACTAATTTTCCTTTTTCTCCAGATCAATAAAACTCAATTTCTACATATGACTGAAAAAGAAACGTCAAAATTCATTAACAGGTTCTGAGTATCATCTTAGCCTTGATTGGCGTTGTCTCCACTCTTCTTGAAATTAAAGGAAAAGCCTCTAAATAAAAAATGGATGTTTTATACTTAATTTGAATAATGTATCCTATCAAAAAAAAAAGTCTTTGATTGGGTCTGTGTCCAGGCAAAGTAATTTTATGTTATCACATTACATTATTAAAAAACCCCCCACAAACCTATGAATACTGAAGCCTTAAAAAAAGGGGAGGAGGCTTTGTCCATACTCATGAAAAAGTAATGAAAATAAACACAAAAGCAATCACCAACCTGGGCTGGAGTTCAGTTTAGTAAATACAAGCTCAAAGAATTCTCACTCAAAAAATCAGTAAGTTATCTTTTTTCCTCAAGTTAGATATTTAGGAGGAAGGATTTTTGAAAGTTAACTAAAAGCAAAAGATGATTTCAGACTCTGGGCAAATCCCAAACTTAAAAGACCCAGTTCTGGATGAATGACTCAATGCAGCAATCCCCTAAATGAAAAATTCCTAGAGGCAGAGGATGCTGCTCAGAAGCAAAGTGGGATTTAAGGGTAGTCTACCCTTGTTTAGATTTAAGGCTGTTTTTTTAATATTTTGATATGAAATGTAAAAATAAACCAACCCAGGAAGAAAGATGCCATTGTCTTAATGAGATGTAGTTTCCTACATAAAAACTTGTACAGTATTTTGTTTTTTCAAAGGATTTTATTTATTTTTAGAGAGATGAAGAGGGAGGGAGAAAAAGGGGGAGAGAAACATTGATGTGTGAGAGACTCGACTGGTTTCCTCTCGTATGCCCCCTACCGGGGACCTGGCCCGCAACCCAGGCATGTGCCTGGACTGGCAGTCGAACCAGTGACCCTTTGGTTCGCAGGCCAGCGCTCAATCCACTGAGCCACACCAGCCAGGGCGATACGGTGTTTTCACTGTCTGACATTTAGTACACAGTAATTTTCTGTATCTCACTCACTGTTCTACTTCTGTTTCAAAGATTAGTAGAAGTTTCTCAGATAAACTTGAACTATTTTTAAAAATACTTCAAACCTAATGGAAGTTAATCTCCCAGTAATGAAAACCCAAAGAAGGCAGACCACTGATGAAGTCTGTTCACTACTTTCCTGAAAGGTAACTAATCTCTTACCATAATAAACAGCCTCACCACCTACTCTCCCAAGTCCCTTAAATATCAACCTATTAATCTAGAGTCTTAAAAAATTAAGTTTTTTAGAAAAAAAATGACCACTTAAAGTTCTGTCAAGTATTAAAAATGGTGTAAAAAGAGGATTCACACCAAGTTACAGGCAGGAAGATTAACCAAAAGCTTAATTCTGAGTTACAAAATTATTTTTGCCATTGAATGAGAAGAAACAGGAGGAGAAGCCAACAATTTATATACATTCTAGGACTCCCTCTCAAAGTGGAAGAAAAATTAAATCAAATTAACAAAAGAAGCCAGATATTAATGAAACTCTATTTAAAAGAAATAAAATGCTAGTTTTTTAATTACATATTTTACTTTCAATTTATGGAACTCTGAAAGTTTTGGCAATTTTCAACTAAAGAAACTAATGTACACATGCATGTATACTTGAGTCTTTCACACTAATAAAAAGTGAAGCAGGGAGTCGGAACAAATAGCTTGCTATTCTGGAGGTCAGTAGAGTAAGACATGTATGATCAATTTAAGTACGTCTATTTCTAAATAATAATTTAGGTCAAATTATTGTTAAGACACAAACTTTTCTTTTAATTATCACAATTTCCCTTGATGTAATTATTAGAAAAGTATTATAATTTTTAAAAGACTATTGGTTTTAGGCTTAAAAAATAAAAACAGGGTTCCTAATTCATGAAACTTCACTACAGGGATATGTGGTAACAAAATTCAACTTGTTTTAATAAAAATGTCCACTAGTTGCTTCCCCAAATCAAGACCCAATACATATATTCCATATAAAGTCTAGTCTGGCATCTGAAACCTGACTGCTGGAGTGTGTGATGTGTTCAACAATTGGGTGTAGGAGGTAGAGGGCCAGGAATAAAAATAACTCTAGCCCTTCTGATCGAATCATCTGAAATTCAGATTTTTTTTTCCTATGTGGGAAAATGAATTATTTTCTACTTCAGACTAAAAAGGCTCCCCTTGCCCTCTCAAGACAATGACCATAAAGAGGTCGCATTCATTTCTGGAAGGGAACAAGCAGCAGGAGCACAATTCCTTTGAGAAGATTTTAAATATCATATATTCAGTTTCAGAAGAAAAAGAAAAAGCCTGAATCTTAATGGCATACTATAAATTTGTCAGAAAGAGGCAAATACAGAATATAACGACAGTATCAGGAAAATACATTTTGACTGGTCAATTTAGAAAGGGCACCTTTGTGTAAAGGTTCAGAAAAATCACTTGACAAATGTTTTTAAACAGTAAATTTTGCAAAGTGTGAAGTCTAGAAATGTCAACAAAAGGCACACTGGGTTCTGAATAACCACAAAAATTTTAAATTATAAAAAAAGAGAAATAAATAGGTTTTGAGTGGAAATATAGTAAGATGCTGTATATTAACTATTTAATTCCTTGGTTTTCATTCCTTCCACTGAGGTGTTGCGCTACACTGCATAATATATACCAGAGTCAGTAGAAAAACAGCTTCTCTCTTCTGTCACCTCATCAGAAAGATACTTTTAACCCAATCTGACCAATACAGTAGCCACTGGGCACGTGTAGCTAGCTAGTACTTGAAATATGGCTAGTGTCACGTGCTGAAAAAGTAATACTTTGGATATATTAAATTAAGTAAAATGTTTGATGAAGGTCAATTTGACCTCTGTTGCCATTCAGGAGGCAGAGACATGGTGGCTCCTAAATGCTGGGAGGAAACGAGTAGTCTTCTTTTTCACTTACCAAGGTCACGCTTTCTGAAGGATTTTAACAATGCCAACAGTTGACAAATATAAATTGCAGTTCCCACCTAGCCCAATTGTAAATCTGGGTTGTATATTTCCCTGAACACATGCATTAAAAAAAAAAATTTAAGTTATGAGACAACATATGAATTAAGTCAACTTCACAGTAATAAATATTTCAAATTACAGGTAAACGCTATAAATTACAGGAAAATTCAAGTAATAGAAAAAAGAGAAAGAGAAATAAAAGACAAAGTTATTAGAGGGCTATAACAATAAGAACTGCACCATTTGGATAATTCTGTTTGAAAAAAATTTTACTTGATTAACTAAACTGCATATGAGTAACTTCAGGAGCTAAGAACTCTTCAAATAAAAGGTAATCAATCCTTTCTTTAAATTCCTGGACATTCATCTTCTTCTTTGAAAAGCACAAGTATTTTCTTCCCAGGACAGGCCCCCGCAGAGCTGGCCCCGCATGGAGAGTGGCAGGGGGCCTGGGCGCTCCTCGCGGGAGCCCACCTGCGTCTGCGGTGGGGTCACAGGACTCGTTCACGGACGTTGGCTCCGGGAAACGCCAATGACGAAGCTCTGTCTCTCGAGATTTAGTATTCACTTTAAAAAAAGCATCCAATGTACTGGCATGAAGTACAGACTACCAACAGAAAAATGGGCAGCGCAGTTCCTGTTATGTATGTTTATAAGGAAAGGGAAGGGGTTAATCCCAAAGGCAATTTAAATAATGGTATTTTATTTTTATATATAAATAAATGTTCTGAGAAACCTCAGACTTTAGTGCATTGTCGTAAAAAATTAGTGCAGTTTTTTTTTTCATTAAAATTTTTAGCGCTCAAGGAATAAGATAAATCTATGTCTGTTCATAGTCTCTTTCACTGTACATTAAACTTTTATACTGCTATATGTCAAACAGAAGGTTTCTACACTGGTCTGTTTTTAAAAATCAAGGTAAATGGATTTCATGTTCTATGACAAAACATGGCAATTATTTTTGGCAAAGAAAATAGAAAAATAAGAGATCATAGTTTAGAAATCAAGAGTTTGTTGATTTAAAGCATAGGCAATGCATAGGGAAAAAACTTTTTAAAAGGATGTATTTTAACAGAAATTTATCCTTCATGCAAAATGTTTTCTCGGCAGCTAACTTAAAAAAAATATTTCAGCTTTATTTAGGGACGAAGATAGTGACAGAAGTCAGGGTGCAGGGCAAAGGAGAGGCGCTTAACCAAGCCCACTCTGCGTTCAAGTCTCTCCTCTACAGGACCAAACGACACCTGCGGGCATCTTCTGCTCTCTCCTCTCTCCTTCCAACGTCTTGGAATCGAGAGGGAAAAGAAATGTAGTTATGAAATGCTGGCTCACACTTCAGCGCCAAGCTCTAGGACCCCAGTTTCAACCACAGTCACATATTTATCGTCAATCTGGACCAGGAGCACTGACTTGTCGATGTGGGATCTCGTGGCTGGATCTCTGCTGCAAGGCACCCATCGGTGAATCACCTAGTGATTCAGAATGAAACAGCAAGTTAGTGGCAGAGACCTTGAATGCACTCAACAAGCTCTTACCCTTCACTTAAGATAAGAGGTAGCAGTTCTGTTAAGTAATTAAACCTAAGGACATAAATCAACTAAAAACATGGCTACAAGTCAATCAGGCTACAAAAAAGTCAGTGCCCCAGTGAGCTTCGCAGGAGAACTTACATGGCCTTCCATACCCTCCTGAGGACTCCAGTCCTTCCAGCTGTTTCTCCCAGCTTTTAACCGGATACCCTCATCAGGCCACTGCAGCTCCTTTCTTTTGGACAGGTTGATCCCATCCAGAATCTGACTGGGATCCACAATCTAAATTGTAAATAAACACAGATCATTTCCAACTCATTTTTCTCTTGAAGATGGAAAACTACACAATCCCCAACAAAACTTCACAGGATTCTTTGTGTCTCAGGTTCTCCACTCCCTACAGTGGAGCAAAAACAATCTGAAAAGCCACCTCCCGAACCCCCTTCAGCCTGCTAACGAGGCCTCCTGCAGCGGCCACAGGACAAGGGCAGAGCAGGGAGGGAACACCAGCGCCGGAACACCGTTCGCTTTCAGCGTTTCTGCCATGTGAATTTGGTTATCTGTGGCAGAAACGTTTTTTTAACATTCCAAGATGTTCTAGTGTTCAGACGAAGTAATTTAAGATGGGTTTTCGCAAGAGCCCTTTACACAACAAAGAAATAAAAATAAATGTGTCAGAAAAAAGTGCAAGAGCCTTGGGCTTACTCACTTGGACTCTGTAAATCACCTCCCCCTTTTTGGCGTGTGAATTACTGGCAGGACTTAAGGTGTGGCCTGGCGGTGCATCGGTGGCGCTGCTCTGGCCCCCGTCCGTCCCCAGGAAGCCCACGAGAGTGTGGTGCTTGCAGGCGGGGATGCTTTGGCTGGAGCTGCTGGAGGAAGGCAGGCCGTGCTGCACGCAGGCTGTGCCTCCCTGGGCCGAGGGCTCCATCTGGTTCACCATGGACAGGCGGGACTGGATGGAGGACGGCAGGTTCCGCAGCGAGAGCTGACTGGTGGAGGAGCGCCGGCAGGGCACGAATCCCGTCGCGGACATCCGGAGGGAGGAGTGCCGGCTGCTGTAGCAGTAAGAAGACTGGCTGGCCACTGAGGCCCGAGCAGGGGACTGGCGGACCAGGCTCGACTGCACCGAGTGAGAGCTGTGGCTGGTGCCTGGGGGACAGGAAACACGGCACTCAGGCCAAGTGGAATGATTCAAACACAAGTCCTTTTTTTCTTTTTAAATAGATTCTAAGACTTTCTCCCTCGAGCAACTACTTGAATGTAACGTTTATTCCTAAAACTTTTAAAGTTGTCAAAAAGGAACAAATGTCTGAGATCTGTTTTCTTGTGCAGTTTTTATAATATAATTTTTATTTGCTGAAGTGCTTCAAAGTTCTTAGGCAAAAGACAAATAATGTACAGCAAGATTAGGGTTTACGGCAAGGATAAATCCTAAAATAACTTTCACAGATATATTCCAGAATAACAAGAATACCTCTTTAATACATTAGAAATGAACTGTCTCATGGAAATATCAATAAGGATCTACTACGTGACAAGCTCTGTAACTATTTCTCAAAGTAGAGTATTAATACCCTCACGACCTATTCCAATAACAAGCTACACCGCCTACAGAGATGGTGATACCACAATACAATTTTCATATACATTAAGGGGTATATGAAATATATATTATCAGTGATACTGAATAGTAGGTTTTTCTGTGTCCTTTTTCAAATGGCTTGGAGAGAAGTTAAATATTATTAATTAAATATTATTAGTCTTTAAAAAGGATACTTTCAAAGAAATATTTCAAATAGTATGTATATTCATATGTACATATATATAAAATGATTAAGATAAATGAACAGGATAATGTCCAACTGTGAATCAAACAAAATATTCGATTTATATTATTTCCAAGGATGTAACATGTCATCCTCTTCACACACACACACACCGACTCCCACGACTAAGAGGCCGTTCACATGATTTGGTTTCACATTACCGAGTGTTGGCGGGTAGGACATGACGGGCGGATGGAGTCCTGCTCCAGGCCCCTGGCCTGAATTCCCGGCGCTTCCTTGGGACGCGGTGCTGTGGGGATCATTGGCAATTGTTGCATTGTTACTAGTGCAGGAAGTTCCGCCTCCAGTATCGGAATCTTCAATATTGCCACCGCTGTTACATCCAGCTCCACAACCCTTCCTTAACCTGGGAACAAATGCCCGAGTAGGAAGCATTATCCCAAGGTGACTTCAAGATAAAGATATTCATCTTTAGCTATTCCAAATGCTTAATGCTATTAATGTTCACCTTTCAAAGTCTTTACGGTGCAATCAATATTAGAAACAAAAAGTCTGCTATGTTTTCATATCCTCCCCTTTTTATTCACTGTCTTGATATTCCCAATCGATTTCACTTTCATACACTCTATTATCTTGCCTGCACCATAATAAAAAACTGCATATAACACAGTTGTACCATTAAGATCACAGCTGGAAACAGAACTCTTTGTTTTGCCAGTATCTCTGCAGCGCCTCTGAAGTATGCAACTCCTGAAACCCTAATTTATTTAAATTAAACCTAATTTATGCTGTAGCGCACGGGAAGGGAGCTGCTGTCATGATTCCTCCTCCTTTCAGCTATTTATATTTGTATGTGGAAGGGGGCCCACTGTCCCCATTTCCCACAACTGTCTTGGTTTAAGCACTGAAAGGCCAGCACCCGAGGAACCCTCTCAGTCCTGGGCAAACAAGGCAGGTCCAGTGCAGCATTTATTTTCTAAAACACAATTTCTCTGAACACTACCCTGGTTTGTGTTCTTCATTCTGCTTGAATGGGGATCGCTGTTAAAATGCTGAAGCCTGACTCGTGAATATTGAGTATTTCTAGAATTTAAAAAAAATCTTTGAGAGTTTATTGCTCTAATTGCAGATCCTGTTTTTCTTAAGCGCTGATTTGAGGATCTGAACAACTCTTAAGTAATTGAAAGTAATATTCTGTGATTTTTTTTTATCATTTATCACCGAATTATGATGTTCCTGCACCATACACGACAATTCACTAGCCCAAATGCAGGGAAAAAATTCCTGTGCATTCTTGAAGACACACTACAGAGCTGCGATGAGAGGGATGACTGGCTGGATGGTGAAACTGGCAGCAGTATCTCTCCATTGCACGACCAGGGGCTGCAAAATGAGCGGATCGCTCCCCCTACTGCTGGAACGGAATAAAACAGAAGTAATTCACTGCACCCGTTTCTCACGTTTTCCTCTAATTTGTCCTGTTTGCTGACCCACACATTCTAACAGCAGCAATAGGCTGCAAATATAGCTAAACAAAGGGAGCTAGTCAAGACTGTATTAAATGTAACGCAGGGGCTCTTAACCAGAATCATACCTCCGATTTCTCCAGTAAGACCTTGAAGATAAAAATGCTCGGACTCTACTCCCTGAAGTTCAGATATAACAGACTGATACTGTACTGTGGCATGTGTATTTTTTCTAAAAACTTTCCAAGGGACACTAACATACAACGCCTAGCTTGAAGGTCAGGATACACCACCACAGAAAAATTCAAACCCATGGCTCACCTGTGCCAGGTTGACACTATGAAGTTTCTGATATTTCCCAAACTGATAGGTCCCCCAAGAATTTCTTTAAGCTGTTCATGGGTGTCAGAGTAAGAAGTTGTCAGAGGCGAGACAAAGATCGGGTAGCCAATAGGTTGATCACAAGATGAGTTTATCATGTTTCTCAGAGCTTGCTTTGCATTTTGGATGCTACCTCTCTCGGGGTTACGGTTACGTAGGAATACAAGTTCCTGCTGTTGCCCTGCCCAAAGACCTCGGACACATTCCTTATTCACCTGAAAACCAGAACACGCGGGAATTCGGTTACGGAGCCAAGGATGAAATTCACATAAACAGAAGCACAGAAATGGGAGGGATACAAAAGACATTATGACAATCAACTGAGTAAAGCAGGAAACAAATAGAAATAGGTCATGTTTGAACAGCAGTTGACCAATTTTCCACTGCCATTAGCAGGCTGCTAAAAATCAGCACCGACAGTATTTCTTTTGCTGTGTGTTATAAAACTATCAAGTAAAATGCAGTCCATTTAGTTTTCCAAATTAGTGAAGCATTGACTGTCATAACTGAGATGTTTTTCATAGAGATGAGAAACCAAAGCGGGGCAGGATGGAGGGTGGGAGGTGGGGGAAAGTGGTAGGGCAAACGGAGACAACTGTACTTGAACAACAACAAAAAAATTAGAGGTAACAAATATTTAGAGTCAAAATGATGTTTGTGATTTTGGGGCTTGATTAAATGAAGTCGAGAAAAAGAATAACCATTACAAACTATCAAAAAAAAATTTTAGGGAGTAAGCCTCTAAAGTCATAAGATGTTTACAAAAACAAACAAAATCTAAGGAAATGTTAAAGTGAATCATTTACTGATCACTATTAAGTACAAGCTATGGTACTACTTTGCTACCTAGGAATTACATCATATTAGCAATACAGAGCCAATGTTTGAGATTTGCCCAAATAGCACATAAAATAGATTTTAAAAACTGTCAGAATAGAAATAAGCAAAAATGTTAAGGCTTTATGGTATATGCAAAAACTTCAGAGAAGAGACTAAATTACTGACAAAATAAATACAAATTAAGTGCTTATGAATAACAAATGCTAAGGTAGTATGGTTATTGTTTTTTTTTCTATAAGAGTTTCAACTACTTTTTAAAAGTTTGGATACAATTATCTAAGTTGCAATTTTTTCAGATGCCAATCAATGCTGCAAAAACTTACTTTAATGACCCTGAAGCTAAGGTAGCGTCTGTTGAGCATGATGATTTTATATTCGTTGGTGCCATCATCCATGACGTGCCGCAGGGCGAGCAAGGAGGGGGAGTTGGCGAGGACTGCGCTCCGCCACGCGGGGTCCCCTTCGTGAGCTATTACAAGGTTTTTTTCATGAGATACAATGGCTTCATAGAGCACAGTAGGGTCATCGTACTCGTCTGGAGAAGTGAAATGATCCTGTACACAAAAATAAAAAATTTATCTTTTTTAGGAAAAGAAAAGAATGGCTTCCAGGATGATAAAAAAAAAACTTCTATAATTACTAAATCAGTTACTAAATAAAAATTTCAAATCAGCATGTTATTATTATTATTATTAGACATAAATCATATGAAAAATTCTCTAAAAATTGTGTTTAAGTCCTGGTATTACCGTCTAAACCTAGGAAGTAGCTAAGCCTCTTTGAGCTTTTGTTGTGATATTTGTGAGTGCCAGTGGTCTCTTCTTAACCCACGTGACAAGGCTATTGTAAGAGGCAGGTGAAATAGAGTACTGGAGAACTTTTTACATCATGAAGCACTATTCACATGCACAGCGAGTACTTTTGTTATTCTCAGGTAGCCTAACCTCCAGGCTTGGATGTGCGTCCTTGGGGACACTGCCTCCTTGCTCTCTCCCGTCTCCCCTTCATTCAGCACATACTCCTCATCAGTTGGCTTGAGTACAAATCCGTTACTTTACCTGGGTATAAAAATTCATCAGCCTCTCAATTGTAAATACAAAGGCAGCCAATGCAATGTTTGTGTTTCCTTAATAACACGCCATTTCAGAAATTCAGATTTGTATTGTGGTAATCTGGGTACATGTCCTGTATCTCCTGTTAATTTACAGGTTTCTGAACAGGAGGCACATTTCATATACTCCTTTGTTTCATCCATGCTGCCTGCCACAGAGTCTTGAACATGGTAGACAGACATTAGATGCCCAATTATCAAATGAATGGGCAGTTATGAAGACCAAGAGGTTTTTCAGGGAGGATTCTACTACCCTGTCTAGGACTAGGACCCTTAATCTGTCTGCAAAACTTGTAGCTTTGAGCCATATCTCAACTAGACGAGGGACGGGATAAAATGGTCTGTTAGCATCATTCTAGATATGTGGCTTTATGTGAAAAGTGCCTGGTTAATCAGAAACACAATTTTAGAGACCATCTGTTTATAGTTTTAGTCTTCTTTAACTGATAACAGTGAAATAATCCTTTAACAGAAAAAAAAATTATATGAAGATACAAAAAACCAACCTGATTGAGGAAAACAAAGAAAATACAAAAAATTGGAAATAATGTTTGTTTAGGTAAAATTTAGAGGACAGGGTTGGACTGAGGAATTTACAAAAGTAGTACAGCAGTCATGAGCTATATATTAAGCTCTCTGGGAAGAGAATCATTTTTTAAAGATTCTCTTTAAAAACTACCTCTCAAGTTTAAGGTATAATCTACATACAACAAGTTGCAGCAATTCTGAGAGTAGTCAGGTGCACTTTGACAAACGCGCACACCCTTGTAGCCGCTGCTCCAGTCCAGACACAGAGCATGCGCTCGCCCCACGCTCCTCGCTGCCCTCTGGCTTTCAGTCTCTACATCCCATGTGACCGATAATCTGCTCCATCTCTGTGGATTAGTTTTGCCTGCTTTAAATTTTATCTAAATAAAATCATACAATGTACCCTTTGTAAGTCTGACTTCTCTTGCTGCACATAATGTTTGAGATTCATTCATGTTGTGGTGTTTAACAGCAGTTCATTTCGTTTTAGTGTTAAGTAATATTCTATCACGTGGCTATACCATAATTTGTATGTTCACCCACTGATGGGCATCTGAGTCATTTTCAGTTTTGGCTAGTTGAGTAAAACTGCTATGCACCTTGGGTGCAAGTCTTTGTGTTGACATCCACTTTCATTCTCTTGGGTAAATATCAAGGAATTAAAGTGGTGGGTCATATGGCAAGTATATATTTATCCTTTCTTTTAATATATAATCCTACTGTTCACTTTTGTAGATTATCATAACTATAACATAAAAACTTCGGAGATGGCCAGTTCTGATTTACACATTTATCTTTTCCTGGCTCAAAAGTCCCCTCATGGGCACTCCAACATCAGCCTCAAAGTGACGGTTAATAAATTAGAATCATTCTAGAGATGTGGCTGTTGCTTGTTACTTCATAGGTCAATCTCTACCTTCCTCAAAGGCCTATCAGAACTGCACAACTTACCCAGGTTGCCTTTGCGTTCTCTGTCTGCTCCCTCTCTGACCCTCCCGGCCCTCCCAGGCTCCCAGTTCCGCCTCCTTCCCCTCCCTGTCTGTCACTGCGGTGTCAGTCACTGCTAATGATGAGAGTGTGCTGCACCCAAGTGGGCTGGGCCTGATTACAAGGTAGAGACACACTGTCACAGGCAATGGCACGACAGCCAAAGGCTCACGGAGGCGAGTGGACCTGGCAGCAGCAGGCAAGAGAACTTCCAGAGCGAGACTAGGGGCGAAGGCCTAAGGTGTCAGAGGCTTTGGACCCTGTGCGCCTCAGTTTCTCCTCTGCCAAAGAGAGACGACATACCCATCATAATGTTAAGAATTAATTGAAGACGTCTGTCAGGAACTGTTAGATAATTCTGCTATATAAAGCGGGTTATTTCTTACATAGCAGATATTCGATTGGCACCTTCTGAGAAACCTGAGGTTTTAAACCATTTTAGAGAGCGTCTGGAATCTTGCATCAGCACTGCTGTCAGTTGGGCACAAATAAAATCTTATAAAAATTCCTTACAGGCTTAGATGTTTCTTAGAACAAAACAAGACAAAAGGAGAAATACCAGAGAGAGAAAAACAAAATAAGAAAACCAAACATTTTAATCTGGAGTCATTACCTTTTTCTTTTAAATACACTGAATTTTGTCTTAAAACTCTAAAGGTGCTCTGATGATAGATAATTCCATTTGATCCCAAATACATATTTTCCCATCATCCTCCACTTTTCCTCCAACACTATTCCCTATCATCCTACAACAGTATTTCACTTTTTCAGAGATTTTGGAGTAATATATCCCTTATTAGTAATACTCCTAAATAATATGGGACATTAACTTCATTCCAACACTTTAGATCACTTGAAGAGTAATTCACCTTTTATTTGGGGAAAAATAGATTCAATCAGAATGAGCATAGCAGGTGCATTTTAACGAGTCTTATCACGTGGCCTCTATCCTCAGACCTGACAACTACTGTCAAGAGGAATGATTAGAGCAGCATGTGCCCGTATGGCAAGGCCTCGAATAACACTGCTTTTGTTATAACATTGATGAGAAAAAAACACACACAAAAGTCAATTCCTGGCCAGGGCCACTGTCCGTGCAGAGTGTGCACGTTCCCCCCATGTCTGAATGTTTCCCCTCCGGCAACAGTACTCTCGTTTCCTCCCCTGTCCCGAAGCTGCGCACGTGAGGTCAGCTGGCATGTCTACACTGGCCCAGCCTGAGTGGGTGTGGGTACTGCAATTTACTGGCACCCTATCCAGGATGGGCGCCCGCCTTGCCCCGAGCTACTGGGAAAGGCTCTGGGCATCTGTGACCCTGAACTGGAGTAATCAGGCTGGAAAATAACGGCCTGGCTTGTTTTTATTTATCTTTCTTAAACATATGTATAGTTCATTTATTTCAATGTTTGTTTTGGATCTCTATTTAGAAGTTTGGCTGTTTCTGTGACCAGAAATATGCTGTAGGAACTTAACAGTTGTTTATATCAATTAGCCTATGGGAAAACTGGTTTCATCATATGTTGTTCTGTTTAAAGTTGCAGTTTCCAAGAACTTACTGACAACATTAAATGAGGCCTTATTTTACTTAATTTCAAAATATATTCGTAAAATGATACAGAGCTCCCTGACTGGTGTGGCTGTTGGTTGAGCATCATCCTGCAAAGCAAAAAGTCACGAGTTCAATTCTGGGTCAGGGTTGCAGACCTGGTCCCCAGTTGGGGTGCATGTGAGAGGCTACCAATCGATGTTTCTCTCACACACTGATGTTTCTTTTTCTTTTTCCCTCCCTCCCTCCATCTCTAAAAATAAAAATAAAATCTTTAAAAAAAGATTCAGAGCAATATGCATTTCGGGGCCTCATTTTAATTTTTTAAACCCTACTGGGATTTAACTAAGGCTAACTTGTCTTATCCATCTACTACTCTATGCAATGTGCTAAATGAAACTCACAGTTCAGTAAGAGCAGCACTTACAAGACTCCGGAGGTGTTGCTACACTGCACTGAGTGCCATCTAACATTCACTCACGGAAGAGGAGTGAATTACAATCGCATAAAGTCAAAGCAAGCACTGCAGGGCTAAGGCTAGTTCCAGTTTGTCACTCACTGCTAACATTCTTCCTCGAGCTCATGCTCAGACCACGCTCTAATATTAATATTCAAATTCACTGTCAGAAACAGAGGCTTGGGATTGTAAGATGTAACATCTTGCCATGAATCTTGATTTTCTCTGTTTCAAATCAGAATATTTCTCAGAAAATATAATTTGGAAATCAAGTGAAGAAGCACCATTAAACAGTAGCAATGAATTAGAAATCTCCTCTTCTTACCTGATGAAGTTTAATGGACATACGGATCCCAGGCACTACTACTTTTCTTAGTAATTCCATGTCAGCAAAGATCCATTCGTCTCGAATTGAAGAAATACGAAAATCTCCCTTAAACAGGGCATGCAATCCATAGAGGAATGACTCTAAATTACTGTTAAGATTGGAGATAAAAGTTTACACATTTTGACAAAGGTCTTCCAGTACACTGACTCTTATACCTGGCAGGGCATCACAGTCATGTGGGAGTGTTTTGGGAACACAGGTCCAAGGATTAATGTCAGCACCCTAAAGCCAGAACTACACTGGATAGGGCCTTTTGACCTGGGACTCAGGTTTATGAACCACTATAATACTGAGTCCATGAAAATGAACCATAGGCAAGGAGTATATAAGTCTGAAAAACTGAGGGATTAACGGGAAAGATGTAGTAATCATAGAAGAAATTTAAAATATGTGGTACTTTTTAATTCTAATTCATTTGGATGCATATGTAAAGAAATCTGGTTTATATTTAGAGTTCCAAAATCGAATGAACAACTATATTAAAAGTATAAATTCTATGGGCAAAAAGGGAGTATGGAAAAATTTAAAAAGAGGTGAGTTGTTAGAAAAATAGATGTAGGTTGAGAGGAGATCAATCAAATGTTATGGGGTGATTATTTTTTAAAATGTTTCAAATCTATTAAATTCTCACTATCAATAGCTGCCCACACATACATCAATTTTAAAAGCCAGTTCTGTTAACCACTAAATGGAACTCAACTATATTCAGCAAAAAGATCTATACAAAAAAACATCTGAAGAGACTTTTGCAATAAGTTAGCATAAACTGCTTCCATGAAAAATAATTCCAGATTTTTCAGAGTTATATTGTACAGCTTCCCACAATCTCTTCCTGAAAACAGAAATGCCTTTACCTGGACATATGGTGGGATGCAGTCCCCAAAGCTCTTCGTCCCAGAACACACAGTCCGTAACAAAGAGTCACCAGGGAGGAGTCTTTGTCCACATCCAGTGGCTTTAAAAAAACAAAGAACAGGGTAAAGGAGGTCAAAAGGCACAAATTTCCAGTTATAAAATAAACAAGTCATGGGAATTTAATGTAGTGACTATAGTTAGTAATACTGCATTGCACATTTGAAAGCTGTTAAAAGAGTAGATCTTCAAAGTTCTCATCACAAGGGAAAAAACTGTATGTATGATAATGGAAGTTAACTAGATTTATTGTGACCATTTTTCAATATATACAAATGTCACATCATTATGATGTATACCTGAAAATAATGTTGAATGCCAACTATACCTTAAAAAAAGGAACATTAATTATCAGAAAGGCATATAAGCATTTATCAAATCAGAATATATCTATTTAATAAATCACAGAGGTTAAGGAACTCAACTAATTTCTACCTTCTCAAAAGTTTTAACAAACAATTAAAAAAAACAATAAATGAAGTATCAATGTATATAAGGAGGTTCTTTGGAATCTTTAAATAAAATCTAATACTTTACAATACTTGGATAGACCAAAAAAACAAAACAATACAAAACAAAAACCTAGGTGTTAAAGGACTTTGAGATGTTTAGCTAAGATCCTAATACTCTCCCAAAGAACTTCCGCTGCCATACATAGTTACAAAACTTTTGTTCCTCATGAAGAAAACTTTTAAGACCTATTCTCCTAACAACACAGAACAGTACTGTCTCAGTAATGGGGAAAAATTAGTTCTAGACTAAAGGCTGATCCCTCCTAAGAAAGCTTAAAAGCAGGTTCTGAAAGGGTCAAACTGTCTCCCAGGAATTTAGCTGTGTCACAGAGCAAAGGTCAAGAATATTTATAGGAATTCAAAAATAGCCAGCACCCATCAAAGTAAAATTCAAAAAGTCTAGCACCCAATCAAAAATTGTCAGGCATGTAAAGTAGCAGGAAATATGACCCATAAAAGAATAATCACTCACTCATTCTATCTAAACTGGCCCAGAATTGACAGAAATGTCACAATTAGTCAGTAAGGACATTAAAAGAGTTATTTTAACTGTTCAAAGGTAGAGAAATGATATCATGCTAAGTAGAGACATGAAAGACTTATATGAAAGACAAGTTAAACCTCAAGAGATACAAAAAAATATAAAGTGTGAGATAAAAAAAAATACACTGCATGGGATTAACAGCATATTAAACAATGCAGCAGAAAAAATAAACGATCTAAAAATGTAGCAATAGAAACTATGCAAAATTAAACACAGTGACAAAAGAGACTGAAAAACATCCATGAGCTCTATGACGACATCAGGCAGCCCAATATATATGTAACTGGATTCCACAAAAAAGGGGAAAGGACAGAAAAAAAGTGTTTGAAAAAAGAATGGCTGAAAAATTTCCAAATCTGATGAAAATTATATTTCTAAGACTAAAGCATGTACTACGACTAGAGACAGTCAGTGTGTACATCCAGACCAAGAAAAAGGTGCCAGCTGTCAAGGTGGCTCACGATGCTCCATGACAGAGTAATCCTGTACTAGAGAGCTGGTGCGTCAACTACACCAGACTGTTGCCTGGAAAGCAGCAGCGGTGGGAAGAGCTAGCTGCTGGAGCCACAGGCCTGGGTACGTGACTGTGTGCCATGGGGTCTAGGCCGGGGAGTGATAACCCAGCCGGGAGAGCCATGAGATCTACAAGGAAAGTAGTCATTGGTGAAGTCTGTAACTCACTTTGCTTATAGGATAAAGCAAATTATCCTGAAATGTGGGTTAGAAACCAGCTGAATTACAGTCACCCAAGGTGATACCGAGTCTGGATTCCCATCCTAGGCCTACAGAATTAGAATCTCTCAAGCGAGGCCCAGGAATCTGCATTTTTACACATGCCCAACCCATTTTACCCATGTTAACTGAAATTTAATTAGCATCTGAAAGTCAAGTGTCTACATCAACGCTGCCCAAATGGTAGCCACTAGCCCACTAGTCCTAAATTTAAATCAATTAAAAATAAATAAAATTTAAAATTCAGTTCCTTAGTCACACTGGCCACATTTCAGGTATATAATAATAGCCACATGTGGTGGTTTAGTAACTACCATACTGGATCAGCATAGAACATTTCCATCATTGCAGAAAACTCTATATGACTGTTATAGTTTCGGCTTCAAATTTGGGATAAAGATAATTAAATTGTCCTTAAATCTGGTGTGTGGGTGGGTGTTTAGCGGGGTGCTCCAAAACGGAGTCCTTAAGAAGGTGCTACACATCATCTGTAACCTAGGTTGACGTATATGTACGTGCATGCACAGGGCGGAGGGCATGCCAGCCAGAGGGTGAGAGGAAGCACTGCAGATGAAAGAGCGAGGCAGGCCGCTTGCTGTAATTGAGTTGGCTGGTCTGGCCCAACCATAATGAACCAGGCAGGTCAGAAAGAAAAAGGTCAGGAAAAGGTGATCTCCTAATTTACAAACAGACATATTCTTTCCATCTTTAGAAAAACGGATTCGAAGAGTTATAAATGAAAGAAACTCTACCTTTGCCCTTCGGGAAGAGCAATACTCTATCCAGTTGAGGTAAATCACACAGAAACTCTCTCTGGATATGCCTGCTAGTCGATGGTCATAGTCTTCATCAATGTTGGGATTAAATGTCGGGTCCACATCCACATAATTTCGATCAGCACACAAACGTAGTCCTTCCTGCATTGTCTCGTTCGCTAGCCACTCCTCTAGCTTAGAAGAGGTTGTAACATAATAAATGATGCCCTAATAAGGTAAAGATTAAAAAAAAAATTCAAGCTAAATCACAATTTGAATTAACTTCAATCCTCAGTAAATACACACCAAGTATTCACTATGATAGTACAACTCAAAAACATATTATTCTTGTTCAATGTTATAAATATACATTTTTAGAATGCTGTAATAATATCCTGCAGGACTTTCAGGATGGAAAAACATTTAATACTTTTAAAATCACAACCATAAATTCAGCAAGGCAACTTCAAAAATAATTCTAGTCTAAAAAAATAATAATGATAATTTTAGTCTACTGGTTTTAGAGCTTTTAAATTTAGGATATTTTAAAAGAGGTGGAAAGCATTTATTGTGGTATTATTGTTGCATTTTTCTGGTGAAATTTCTCAGAAAGCTAGTAAATCATCCTGTGACCCTAGCTCAAGTTATAGATTAGATATATAGACATATATGTCTAATAATAAAGCTATAGAAATATACATATTTAGAGACAAAAATGCCACATACACACAAACACACACACGTAAAATATGTTGTAAAATCAATCTCTTTATCTTCCTGAGGTTATGTTTAAATAAACATCAAATAGAAGGTTCAAGGTTCACTGCAATCAGCACAAATAAGGTGGCATAGGTAGGTAACAACATAAGATATAAAAGAAATTCAGACATAGATCATTAAAATTTAGCACCCATTTTCATCTTGAAAATATTGGCTTTGACTGCAAGGCCCCAAATCATAACAACGCTGTATTTCTGTAAAATCTTTAGCAAAGGTAAAATACCAGTGTAGTAAAGAACTATCTCTGCCCCAAGAGAGGTTTGGGCTTTGCTCTTGTTTCCTGGGAGGTAGCCTCCAGTATCGTTTTTGTTCACCTGGAGGCTTTGAGCTGTGACCTATAAAGGAGCTGGGAACTCCGGCTGGCCAGGTGGGTGGTCAGCCATGTCTAAGCTCCAATAAACACTCTCCACCCTGAGGCTCAGGTGAGCTTCCCTGACTGACAGCACCTGTGAGTATTGTCATGCGCTGGTGCCGGGGGAAACAGGCATGACCTGCACAACTCCACTGGGAGAGGACGGCTGGACGCTTGTCCCTTGGCATCTTGGGACCATGCCCTATGTGTCTCTGCCCTTGGCTGATTTTAAGCTGTATCCTGCCACCTTAACAAATCCGAACTGTGAGCATAATGGCTTTGCTGAGTTCTGTGAGTTCTTGTGTAGTAAATTATTGAACCCGAGGGCTGCCTTGGGGACCCTGAAATTGCAGTTGGTTGTCCAAGTGAGGGTGGTTTTGGTGACCTCACCAACCTTGCAATACTTTCATTCAGCTTCCTGAAAACACTGTGAAGCAGCGGTTAACAGTAAGGGCTCAGGTCAGACAAGCCTGGGTTTTAAATCCCTATCTTTATCTGCTAGTTGGAGGACTCTGCAAATAAACATCTAATTCTTAACTTGTTTATTTGTAAAACAGGGACATTACTTTAGAGAATTAGGTAAGGTGCAGGTCTGTGTATGTATACATGCATGTGTGTGTATATTCTTCAGCACAATACCTAGAACATCTGAGCTACAGGCGGTAGCCATTAATATTAATGAACAATGCATAAGTTTCACTAAAGAAAAAACACAGCGAGACTGTCATAGGTATAAACTATCCTGGATATTACACAATTTAAATCACTACATAGAGGCAAAGCACAAGTTAAAAAAAATAAATATATAAATATATATAAGATTATATATAAAATAAAAGATATATATATATCTTACCCAAGAAGATGCTTCAATTATTAGAAGACTGAGGGAGGCACATGCTCTTACCTTGACATAGTAAGTGGTGAGCACTTTCCGAAGATCAAAGACCTGGAGCATGGAAGCAGCACTATTGTCCGTGATGCTGTAACCCTCCAGAATGTACTTGGTGACTATGACCTCCCAAGCCAGCCAGCGCTGGCCAAATGCAGCATTGAAGGAGAGCACATGAGGAATGTGGCCAGGTTCACAACAGCAAAATCCTTCATCTTCTTCAACACCTTCAGTGATAGCCTCCACTTCCCGTTGTTGACAGTAAGTACCTTAAAAAGGGGGGATAAAATCACAGGGAAAATGAATGCTTTAAAGACACAAGAAATTTAGAGAGAAGACATTTGATAGCAAATAAAAGTATGTGATTGATTCGTCTTAGAACATTCATTAACAAACCGTAGCAAGCTCCTGAAAGCGGCAATACTGTACATTCGTCTCCTGCAGAATCACAATATGCATTAGCACATTTGAGGTTCTGAGAATTTGTAAAGTAACCTCCTTAATTTTTATTCACTGATTCCCAAACCCTTCAAATTTGCATTTACATTCCTACAGAATGAAGACCAAGTAAAGGTATATCTCATGAAGATTTGAGTTAATTCTGAAAAAGAAGAGTGGGATGGGAACCGAACCATCCCAGGGCAGCCGACACAGCAGACACTCAGGGCTCAAGAGAACGCAAGCCCTGTTTACCAGCGTCTTGTCCTTGCTGCAAGCCCATATATTACATACGGCCTGCTTATCTGGCTCTATAACCTGTTATAGTTCATTTTAATTTAATATTAGTACATAATTAAAACTTCTTCTGTTGCCAGTTCCAACAATAGTGGGCATTTGAAGTTTGCTAATAAAGTTTCAATTACATATGTATGAAGTCTCATTACTCTGTACAATCCTTTAAAGTTATGTTCTTTTATATGACACTTATCAAACAAGCATTCTCTGCATTCATTATTAATATTAAACTAAAAATACAAAATCAGATTCAATACAGAATTAGACCCACAGCAATCTAATACTAGCAAAAATATCATCATCACATTCATTTTAATTTTAATTTCTGTTAGGTGGTCTTCCATTTATTTTGTGAATTCCTTATATAAGGACTATAAAGTGATTATACTTAAATTCATAAAGGTACTTACTAAAAGTAATTATAATAACAAGTGCGAGGACACTTTCTTTTTCCTTAGAGAGAATATAACACCATGCATGTTTAAAGCACACTGCTTTGAGAAAAAAAGATGCCAGGAGACTCAGCCCATGTGGCGGCGGCGGCCACAGCCGCGTGGTAAGGGCACGAGGAACAGGCAAGCGCAACCAAGCCGATGAGCTTTGTTATTGAGCGCTCTAGGACCCCGAACAATTCTGTTATTTTCTAGTTTAATTAAACTGGCAAACACTTCCAAAATAATGGTACACAGTGGTGACAAGAAAAACCCGCTGGAACTCCACAGTAACAGGAGTGCCTGCTGTGGCGGCCAATTAACACACTTCAGACTGACAACAGATACACCGGTCCATTTTTCTCCAGAGTAAGGACATATGTCATCAAGTATTTTTCAAAGCAGTAATAAAAATAAAATTTATTCAAATGCCCTCAAATTTTAATCAAATTTGTTTCCTATGATCTACTGAAAGAAGATAAATTATATTAATTTGCTTTTTTAGTACTTAAAATAACTTCAAAAGAAGGACAAATTAATAAATTGGTAAGGGGCTACTTAAAAAAAGTATTGCTGGTTTTTGCTTATTCTGGGTCCTGGGAATTTTTGCATCTTGTCATAAGTGTATTTAACTTTTTCAGCCAGTTTGGTCATCCTTTCACATCAGTGTTACATAGCTTTTGTAGCACATAAAAAGCCTTAGGAAATTTCCCTTCTTTATCCATGTGTTAGAGCAGATTAGAGAGGGCGAAAGAATTATTCAATTTCTAGAAGAAACCTCCTGAGCCTGGTTTTTTTAAACTGTGGCATGAAGTTGGGTCTATTTCTCAGGTTTTATATTTATTGCATTACTTTATTTTATTGATTTTGTCCTCTTTCTGGGAAGTCAATCAAAGGTTTTCAAATAAAAAAAAAATAACCTAAGGAGAGCTGTATGTTCTGCAGATCACTTTGTTAATGGCATATAGAGAAGAGATGTGGCAAGAAGGAATCTGGAGGTTTTGACACATATTCAGGAGAGAGTGAGATCCTTGTTCAGAGTAGTAGAATAAAGTTAAGTACCATAATTGAAGTCATATGGGATATTTTTATTCTACCAAACAAACCACAGAAGTATCTTCTATTCCAATATACCCTAGTAATATATTTTGCTCCAAAAATGAAGTCAACAAAAGTACAGGAATAGATATTAATAACTGAAAAAAGAATTTTGAGACTGAGAAAGGGATTCTAGACTATCTATGAGGCTCTATTACCAATTAGCTAGATCTTTCTGTCAGTTTAGAGTGAATATAATGGTAAAAATAAACAAATAAAACTAACAATCATGAAGACTAGACATGTTAGAATTTGAGTAAAAATTAAAATAAATCCAATTAGCATAAAATTTTTTGACCTCTAAAGTTTGACTTGGAAAACTGCATTTGGTAGAAGTAACATTTACAAATAAAAAGTTAACATGATAGAAGCTGTAATCAGATTAATTTTGATAGAAAAAATGAATAACTCAAGCCTGACATTAATTTACACAGAAAAGAATCCTGAGACTATTACTAAAATGAAAATGGAAATGAAATAAATATGATGCAGTTTAACCAAGACCTATGGAAAACTAATCAAGAAATTTGTTTTGTTAAATGTCACTTAAAACTTAGCATCCATTAGAAGAGAAACTCAAATCAAAAGAATTAAATTAGCTTAATGGGGTATACCAGAAAATACATCAAAATGCTCAGCAGATCCAAATATCTGCATGGCAAAATACTGACACTCCTGATTAATATTTGAAGGGTCAGAGGCAGACAGCCCAGACAGCCCAGGGGCCAACACTGTGAAGGAAAGAAATAACCAAAGATCACAGTAGCATCTGAAGAAGAATATAATCACACCTCATGAGAGCTCTGGATTAAAGAGAAAGGAAAAAAAGCTATATCCTTAAATTATTTAAGCACTCTGTAACAGTAACTATGTATCATATGCTAACTGCTGTGACTGGTGCTGGATACACAATGATGAATGAAGCAGATCTGATTCCTGCCCTTGAGGAGCTTATAATTAAAATATAAAAATAAAAATATAAATATAAACCAAAGGTTTACAAAATACAGCCTTGGGTCAAACCCAAGGCAATAATGGTTTTTATATTTTTAAATGGTTGTTTAAAAAACAAATCAAAGGATATGTAACAGGGAATGTACATAAGTCCAAAAGTTTAAAAACACAAATATAAAATGCAAAGTACGCTAAGCACTAAGGAACTAAAAACAGGGTAATATGAGAGATAACTATGTGAAACAGGTAGTTAGAGAAGGCTTCTCTGAGAAATTGCCATTTAGGTTAATATTTAAAGATAATTAAGGCATTAGCCAGATGGAAGACCAGTGGGAGGCGGGGAGATGGTTGGTACTTTCTGGGCAAAGGGAAGGGCGATAAGGAGTCCTAAGTAAAGAATTTAGCACAATTAAGACACCGAAGGAAGGCCAACATGACAAGAGAGAGGGACAAGGGTGATAAAATAAAGTGAGGTTGGAGAAACTGGCAGAGGCTAGACCATGCAGTGCTGTAGGGATTGTTAAGACAGTTGAATTCTATTTTAAATGCAATGGGGCCTTGGCTGTTGTGGCTCCGTGGACTGGGTGTCGGCTTGCAAATCAAAAGGTCACTGGTTTGATTCCCAGTTAGCACACACGCCTGGGTTGTGGGCCAGGTCCCCAGTTAGGGTAACGTGAGAGGCAACCAACCTATGTTTCTCTATTGTGCACAGATGTTTCTGTCCCTGTCATTATCCCTCCCTTCCCCTCTCTCTAAAAAAAATTAAGATGAATGAATGAATGAATGAAAGAAAGCAAAGGAAAACCACTGAAGAAAAATTAAGCATGAAAGGGACACTGATCAAATTTGCATTTAAGAAAATCACTATGGCTGACTGAGGATTTACAGTATCCCTTGCTGTCAACATCCAGCATGAGTTCAGATCGCAAGGAGTACTATGTTCCCAAACTGGTTTGATTTGAGCTTTCTTTGGCAAACAATGAGAGTCTGGATAGCAAAGGATTTATCCCAAATTTTATCTGAAACTATTTGGTACCAGAGAGTGAAAGCTGCGAGAGTGAGAGAATCTGGATCAATTTTTGATTTGGAGAATTTCTGATCAATATGGTAGATTAAGCAAATAATTAAAAAAAAAAACAAAAAAACCCAATTCGCACGCATAGAAATACTAGATTAAACAGCCTCACACAAACATTTGAACAAAAAAAGAAAGTTAAAGTTACAAAGCAAAGGTAAAATCTTCAGGTGCCACCTCTTCAGAAAGAAGCTGAAGTTATAGTAGTGGTTGGTATAATGGTGAGTGGGTGTTGACTTTTGGATGAGTCTAGTTGGATTAGACTGGAAGGCACTGGATAAGACTCTGGAAGAGAGGGAATTAAGGTCCCAGGCTTCTGATACAGAGGCAGAAACAAACCATAAAACAAGAACAGAACATTTTCAGAGAGAGAGAGAGAATGGATTACAAATGAATAACGATCATCAACATACACTGCCTTAGTCTGAGTGTCCCACAAGTAAAGTCTTATTTCCAGCACATAGGGTAACTTTAGAGAAGCATTTGTCCCATTAACAAAAGATTATATAATATTTGTTATGTGATTCAACACCAGGGTGAAAAAAAGTTATACGGTATACGTCTGATTTAATCATCTACCTAGTCAAATGTTTTCTTATTTCTTATTTCAGGTTAAAAACACACAAGGCACTTCTTAGATACTCTCTCTAAAAACTTCCAAGTCCAAATGTTCCTTAGATTGGAAAGATAGACATTAACAGGATGTTCTTCAATTCCTATAAAACAAGTTTCTATTCATGCTTACAAGATATTCATCTTATAACAGAAGGTGAATATATCTCTGAATGCATGATTTTCTGCGTAGACATAGCTTCATTTGCCGTACACGAAATTGCTGAGGGCTGATGAAAGAACATGGAATAAATGCTTAATGGATGTGGGGTTATATTTTGGGGAGATGAAAATTCTTTGAAACTAGAAAGAGATGGTGGTTGCACGACACTGATGTTACGTGAATTTCACTTCAATTTTTTTAAAAAGCTGTTGAGGACCAAACTTGCCGTCTATATGAAAGTAACTCAATTAGCTACTCTCTGCCGCACACAAAAACACCACATTCCATTCTGCCAGCCATCTAACACATACATGCACTGGTCACAAAAAGAGACTGACGAGGGAGCAAGCGCAGAGCAACAGAAATTCAACATCACCAGGAAAGTAGGTCAATTATACAGTAATGTTACTGCCTTTACATATATGGCATATTGTGAAAATTCTCTGAATTTTAAATTTGGGGGGAAAAAATCTAATGATTAATCTCTAATAACTTTTCTTATCCTACAATTCCAAAGATTAAGGATCAAATTTTCTGAGAGCTTTTGATTTGCAATATAAACACATAAATCTTGGGTATCACAGTAGTACATCATAGAAACAGCAGGTGAATGTCTTACCTCTGAATTCAAGTCCCCGCAGCTGGAAAGTGACCAGCCCATTGCCGATCTCTATAAGGTGCACTAAGGCATTGAGGTAGTCAGAGGCAAGAATGAAACAGTCCCCTGTACTGTAGTTTCCCCACCGTCCTAGGAGCAAATCACCACAGAGACTGTGTTGTAGGGATCTGGTTAAATGTTCATAAAAGATGGAGTTCAGATTGTTGTCATCTGATCCTACAAGAAAGGATTTTTTTAAAATGTTAAAATTTACCCTAAGTCCTCTTTATAACAACATACAAGACAGTTAAAAATATTAAAACTAATTTCCAGTTACGGTTGTACCTACATTTTTGACAAGGAAAATAATATTCGTACTCTTACAAATTCTACATAAAAATGAAATATAGAGTAATGGGGAAAGTTTCAGATTTCAAAGTTAGAAGTCACATAACCTTTCTGAATCTCTGGTTCCTATCCATAAAATGTATGAATTGGAGTAGATAAAAACCTGAGGTCTTTTCCAGCTTTTTAAGAGTCCACAACCTTTTCTACCTCTGTTCAATGAACTACACCTTAAAACCATGCCAGAGAAATGAAAAAGATGAAAAAAAATCAGAACTAGAACAAAGAGAATACCAGTAATGAAAGTGGGTAAAGTAATACAAGGTATGAACAAACACAGTTGTTCAAAACAAAAAGAAATTGTCCGTCAAAATAAATCGTATATTGAGATGGTTAAAACAAACTTAATAAACTGTATACACAGGAATAGCAGCAGAGAACCTACAAAATTTACCAGAGTCATACTTTTAAAAAAATAGGATAAAATATCACCCAATAAAAGAAACGACCATTTTTGGCCCTGGCTGGTGTGGCTCAGTGGACTGAGTGCTGGCCTGCTAACAGAAAGGTCGCTGGTTTGATTCCCAGTCAGGGCACATGCCTGGGTTGCAGGCTAAATCTCCACTGGGGAAGCGCTAGAGGCAACCTATCATTGTATCTCTCACTCTCCCAGTGTTTCTCTCCCTCTCTTTCTCCCTGCCTTCCCCTCTCTCTAAAAATAAATAAAATCTTAAAAAACAAACAAACAAGGAAATGGCCATCTTTAGAAGTAGCCTATGCCAAGCAATAACCTGTAAATGGGTGCCTACAGTATCTTATTGGAGTATGGTAAAATACACTAAGCTTAAAAATTACTTTACACTCAGCCCAACCAAATAATAAAATAATGAAAGGGGACCTCCAACTCTAACTTCAGTAAGATGGTCCTATACAATGCTCTGTCTGCCCACCACAAAAGCGTTATTTCAGGACATGGTCTTTGATGTGCAGGACAGCATCACCAGCATCGTGAGAACTTCAAGTCCTTTACCGGTACATACTAGAGCTGAGATGGGTTTATCGACCAGGACGTGATAATGAGTCATTAATATCAATTAATTAGTTCTCCTTAATTCAATTTTATAATTATAATTTAATCTGATTACTATAATTTAGTTTCTTAAGTAGATAGCATTTGAAGAAATCTGTGAGTCAAATGAATACAAATATTCCTGTCTCCTTGGAGAGCATTATTTCTATTAGTGAATTAATCCCTTGGATTTCTAGTTGATATGTTAATCTCTATGATTAGAAAACTGAGATTCGCATTTTCTGTATCAGATTACTAATGAATGGGCCAGCAAAAGGATGTTTCCCAAATGACAAAATTAGGAATCAGACTTTAGATCATGGTAACACCACCAAAGTGCCACCCACTTATGCCCTATGTTGAGTGACTATTTGGCCCCTCAACGTGCCATCTCCATATACAATAAACTAAGTGAAACTAAACTAATATTTATCTAAACATTCAGGGAAAGGGAAAACAAACATTAATAAAACACATATTGATCAGACTGCAGAGTATTCAAGACCTCTAACCAATTTTACTTTTAACTGTGTTCTATTTTTTAACCTGTGTAAGAACAATCTTTGAATGGCACTTTTCATCCTTATCAGTGTTCTTAAAATGCACTTTATAAAATACGGGTACATAAGTTGTAGCTAGTCTAACATGTATATTTTGCTAAAGTAAACCAAAATAAAGCAAAGGATATTTCGTTTTTAAAAAATGACCATTTGGAACCCACACAGGATTCCCACCAAGTTGGGAGTGAACAAATTCAATAGTTATGCTTCTTGATTCACAAATAAAGCTATTACCTGGATTTCTATCAAGCTGGGAAGCCAATCTGGTATTTGAATGATCCACTCGTTTTGTGCTGAAAATGGCAAAATAAAACATTTTTAGTAACCTTTTTATATTTAAAAATGCCTAGTAATTAAAATGGAGAAAAGTGAGATAAACATTATCACCTGCTGACTATCTCTGAGAAAAATCTATAATTAGCATATTGATAAAGCTCTGGAGTAGCACAACATTAGGGATAAGGTTTTTATTTTTTACTCTCCCACATCCATCATACATAATTGGGGCAGTTATTTCCTAATTGGTATGACAACGACCAGTGTGTAGAGACACATCAATAGGTTTAATGCAAATTAATAATAATAATAATTGAGGAGGATGAAAAAATCCATACCGTAAAAAGATCTAAAAAAAACCCCAGTGCACGAAGCCTTTTTTGCAAGGGGAAGGTACATCTATCAATGTCCAATGGTGCAGTGGTTCTCAAAATGTGGTCCACAAAACCCAGAGTAGGGGACTCAAGACCCTTCCAGGGAGTTTTCCATATTGAAACTATTTTCATAATAATACTGGCTGTTACCTGCTTTCTTTCACTGTGTTGATAATTGCATTGATGGTGCAAAAGCAATGGTGAGTAAGACTGCTGGTGCTTTAACGTGAACCAAGGCAGGGGCACTGAACTGCACTATTTGTTACTGCCACACATGCACAAGACAAAAAATAAATAAATAAAAACTCAAGTTTCACTTTAAAATGGTCTTAATGAAACAATGAAAAATATTAATTTTATTCAATTCCAAGCCCTCAGTACAGGTCTGTTTAACACTGCCTGTGGTAAAACACACACAAACCATGCCTGCTGCACTCTGAAGCCAGGTGGGTGTCTCAGGGGAAGCATTTGTGCAACTACTTCATTTACAAGCTGCACAGGCTACTTTGTTTCAAGGAAGACCATTTTTCCTTAAATGACTGATGGGTGAACTACGATTATTCAGACTTGAGTATTTGACAAACATTTCTCAAAAATGAAGAAAGTGAGTCTGCCATTTCAAGGAAAACAAGTGACAATGGTTTCTTTTGCCAATAATAAAAAATTAGAATTTTGAAGCAAAAATTAGATTTTGGAAAACTTATTTTTATCTACCACTGCTAGCTTGATAGCTTCCCAACACTAGAATTTCCCTTTGTGATTAGCAGTGATAGGAATGAATACGTTTTTTAAAATATTATGTAATGAAATGGGTTAAAACTTGGAAGGTCTACACTATCCAATGAACCAATATTTTCTAAATGATCGATAAGTGATGTTGTAAGATTATGAATGGGTAAAAAGATCCATCCAAAGTATAAAATGTATCAGTGGATTTTGATGTAACACAGTTCTAGAAATTAATGGATATGGTTTTAGATTCTACATTGTAACTAATCTTTAGGAAACAAACCATTTGTCGGCTTTTAGTGAAAGATCAAAGAATATCCACAATTGTCTAAAAAAGCTATTAAAATACTTCTTTTTCAATATCTATGTCTGTGAGCCCAGATTTTCTTCATATACTTCAACTAAAACAACATATTGCAACAACAGATTGAACACAGAGGCAGATATGAGAAGTAAGCTGTCTCTTATTAAATCAGACATAAAAGAGATTTATAAAACAATGACACTTCCAACTGATTTTTTTTGGTGGGATGGAAAATATAGTTGTTTATTTAAAAAATGTTACCTTTGTTTACATGTATTGGATTTATTGTTGCTATTTTTTACTTAATGAACATTTAAATTTTTAAAGTTTTCTAACATGGTAAATATTGGTAGATGAAACCCGTAACAACAAAAACTCTTTGGAGACCTCCAATAACTTTTAGGAATGCAAAAAGGTTCTGAGACCAAATAGGTTAAAAGATGCTGCCATAGACATGATTTCAGACTAAATTTTAGTTGACCCAGAAGAACAGAAAATAATTAACATTAAAATTCACCAAAAGGAAAAACAGCATGTGCAGTTTTTTGATAAAAGATGAGGGAAAAATTTTCAAATCCACATGTCAGTTCATTGTTTAAAAAGTCAGACTACATTTCTCACCTGTACGTGTCAATATGTCAAAGTGTAGGGAAAAAAGCAGACATGGAATGGGCCAGAATCACAAATCAGTCCAAGCCTTTTCTGAACCAAGGTTAATATACATTCAAAGTTTTTAAAATGTTTATGTTCCATAACTCAGTAAGTTTCCTTTTAGATATTCTTTCTTATATAAAATTAGAGAGATTACATACAAAGATAATTATTAGGCACCAAATTAAATAGCCTGAAGAAATAAGCCTAAATGGAAAAACTTTGTGTACAAAATGGTCACTGAACTTATCTTCATGAAAAATAACCTATAAAAAAATTCAGCTCTAGAAATAGTTATTTCTAAGAAAAGTGTAAGATAACTAATTATGACTATTGTAATAATAAAACATTGTATAGCATTAAATTTCAGAGTATTTTTAATGTGGAACAAGTCTAAGAAATAATATTAAAAGACAGAAAAATGAGTATATTCAACCAGAACTATGTTTTAAAAATACTATAACTAGCCCTGACTGGTGTGGCTCAGTAGGTTGGTCATCGTCTGGCGGACTGGACTGCAATGCTCAATTCCTGGTCTGTCAGGGCGTGTGCCTGGGTTGTGGTCCAGGTCCCAGTTGGACACCTGAGAGAGGCAGCCAATCAATTTTACAATCCTTTCGCACATCAGTGTTTCTCTCCCTCTTCTTTCTCCCTCCCTTCCCATCTCTCTAAAAATAACTAGTCTTTAAAAAAAAAATCTTGTAATTAGAAAAAAAGGTAGAGAAATAAAGAATAATCATTCTCCAACTCTTCTAATTTCATGTAATTTTGAAACTTTACAAGTGTTTAGAAAAATTTAGTAAAATATTTTAACACAAAAAATTAACAATCCTCAATTACTTGTATTAATGCCATCAATAGTTTTTTCTAATAAAAAAGATAAGATTGGCTTTCAAAAGTTTTATTTTACTCACTTGTAGTCTCTCTCCCAGAATTTCACAGGTCGGACATACGAGGTGATGAATATTGCACTTCCCAGGAAGGGGTTCAGTGGTGTAGAAAAGAAGGCCGATACAGCAGCCTGAACAAACAACATGGCTGAATCTATGGGACAACTGGTTAAGGACCTTAAACATCCATGTGAGCACACACATGCACACAAATACATCTCACAAACACATTGCAATTATAGCAGTTAGAAAAATAACATTCATGAGAGGACAGAAAAAGATGCTACTGGACCATATGTAGGTGCAGAAGTAGAAAAACACAGCTAGAAAGTACAGCCTGGCACGATGCTCTGAAGGGAGCTAAATAAACACTTGCTAACATGTATTTTATAAAAGCCTATATATATCACTTTTGGGTAGAGATGCTTGGATTTTCCAGAAGATAAAACTAAACTTCACAGATACAAAAAGTCTGTATTTGAACATCTACATAGTCACTAACCTTTACTTTTATTTAGAAAGTACTTTCAAGAAATAAGAATAGAAGATTTTGGACAGGAAGTTCAATTATAATCATATGATTATGAAAAATGTTTTGTATCTTCATTCATTTAAAAATATTTACATAGCCCTGGGTGGTATGGCTCAGAAGACTGAGCACTGGCCTGCAAACGAAAGGGTTGCCAGTTTGATTCCCAGTCAGAGCACATGCCTGGATTGGAGGCCAGTTCTCCAGCAGGGGGCGCATGAGAGACAACCACACACTGATGTTTCCCTCCTTCTCTTTCTCCCTTCCTCTCTCTCCCTAAAATTAAATAAAAATCTTTTAAAAAAATTTCTACACATTTTGTATTTATTAAAAATTCCTGATATATTGGGATGCTCTAAGAATGAGTAATATAAATGTCTAATCACTGGGGTATACACCTGAAACTAATAGAATATTGTATATCAACTGTAACAGAAAAATAAAAAAAAATTCCTGGACTTTAATACTCATATATGTAACATAAATTTTTAAATCAGCATTACTTAATTATTAAACTTTAATACTTTTTTTTACATCCAGATAACCTGTGGACCACAGATGTTACTACGTCCTGAACAATCAGAATCAATATAGGTGTGAACTAAAATACCGTGAATTTTTGGTAACTTATCATATGGTAACCCTATATTCTATGCCTCTGAAAGGTTATGCCTACAAACCAACATTCTCATCAAGGATATGACTGTCCTTTCCCATAAAACTGTTATTAGAAGGATACGGGGCACTGCAAAGGGCTGAGCAAAAGCATGGAAGGCAGAACCCCATGTGATCTGCCATGGGGCAATGTAAGTGTACACAAACTGCAGCTTATAAAGGAGTTCCCAAAGCTGTGGAAGAAGAACAAAAACAAAACAATCAGTAACAAACTTATCGGACAATTGAAAAGAAAACGAAACACCTCTAGAATGTTTTTCCTACCTAATAGGGAAACGGTATTGATATTATTTGCTATTTGCACAAAAGGAAAATATATCAACTGTCAAAACACTGTATTTTTAAGTAAAGTCAGCTAGCTGATTAATGGATTGTGTTTCATCTGTTTAAAAAATTTTATGCCCTCTACTGGCCATATTACTACTACAACAAGCAAAACAAAGAAAGGTAAATATGTCTGTAAAGCCTTAAGTAACACATATATATTTTGACTCTAAGACATTTCCCTCAAATTTTAGTATGTTTTACTAAAACTGAGTATGTTTTAAATACAATGTCAAAAGAATTTGAAAGCAGCCAAGCAGGGGAAAAAGTTGTAATCCAGCTGTCACTGGCTGTTTGCCTAAGAATTTATTACTGTATATTAGGCCTCTGTATACAACCTCAATTGTTACTGTCAATGGAAACACAATACACTTTATATCTTGTTTAAATCAGGATCTGTTTTGTTGTTGAACATGTCTTCAATACCAAAACAAAATTAGTATAAATGCCCATGAGTGCCTCTGAGTGCCAGGCAGCACAAGGCCCAATTCTCCCAACAGGTCACAGAATCATAAAGCCAAGAGGTTCTCATTCAGTGCCATGATTCATGCACCTAATATCTCACATTTAAGTTGTTTAGCTGATTTACAATGAACCTGTTCAACTTCCAACTTAAAAAAGAAATAACAACTTCAACCAATTAGAAAATGCAGATGAACCCCCGCATTCTTTATCATGATCCCAAATTATGCTGGCAACGCTTCGTACTATAATTTCATCAGGATGACAGGAAGTAAAAGTGGGATGTATATTATCAAGAAGCCATTTAATTGCTTAAAAGCAATGGTTCAGAAAACTCCAAATTCTAAATGTGAAAAATACTCAAATTTTGACTTGCAATATTGAAGAAAAAATAATACGTAATTACGTGCATGGGTAAGTAGTTAGTGGATAAAAATATTTTTTTATACATTCAGAGTAATTTCTTTTCAAAAAGTTATTAAATCAATAGTGCATCTTACAATGGTATCTTACGAAATCTATCTAAAGAGATAGATCCCTTCACTATTATTTGCTTAGTATCACTATTAAGTTCTATCAAGTAACTGTATAAAACACAAAGTCTTTAAGGGCAGAGCTTTCTCCGGTTTGTCCACTGATGTTGCCTAAGTACCTAGAACAGTCTGGAACATGATATGCTCTCAAAAACCAATTTGCTTAAAAAATGAAAGCATTAAGAAAATCCAAACTAATACAAGTTAAGTGTAGTGACTCTATTTAAAGGATTGTTCAGTTTATATTTTATTGTAACTTTTTCTCTTTTTTTTCCAACCAGTATAATAAGATGCAATAAAATTTCCAATCTAAGTGTTTAAATTCGTGAGACACCACATGCTTCTTATACAAACAATTCTCTGATTAACTTTCTGGTTTCCTCCTTTGGTTAACCATGCTCACTAGAAGAGGAAATAAGTGATAAAAATGCATACAAATTAGTGATTAAACAAATATAATATTGCAATATTTTAGAAGTTATTTATCACAATAGTTAGTATAATATTCTGAAATTGATCATTACCAAAACCTTGTGCAGATTAATGGTTTTCAACCTGTACTGTTCTCATCCTAGGTCAGATCTCTATCACATCTAAATTACTGTCACAATCTCTTAAGCTGTTCTCCATACCTTTAGGTTCTCTCTTCCCCAATTCATCCCAAATGTGGCTGACCAGGCTAACTTTCCTAAAATTGGGTTTTTCATTGTGTTTTGTTGCTCATATGCTTCAGCTCTGTTACCTATCAAATGGGATAATATATGTCAAAGTCCTTTGTATGTGGTCAGTGTTAACATGAAATCTAAGCTCCATTTAATTTACAAATAATCTGACTGCACAATTGACATCATTTAGAAAGGCAGTGTGGTTCAGCAAAAAGGTTTTTGGAATGGTGGGTAGAACACCCAGATTTTGCCATCTTATATGTAAAAGGACTAAAAGCACCGCTCTTATGCGTGGATATCAAATTTTAGAAGCATCCTGTAAACTTCAAAGTATTCTGCAAATGTCCCATCAAACTAATTTCTGGTTGTTCCCACATGGCCTCACTATCTACCATCTACCATCTTCCATCTTCGATCAGCGGTCAGGTGATTTCTTCACTCCACCTATCCAGCAGTCCACAGCCCAGGCCAGCTATTACCCTGTCTATTTCTGAAATCACCCAAAAAAACTCACCCCCTTTTGGAAGAGCCTACATATTTAAAAATATATACTTAGTGTTTCTCTAATATTTCCACATAGCTTAATCTTATCTTCCTAGCTATTGCAAGAAATTTATCTTACAGATCACAGGTACTAGCACTCCTTAGGGATTCTAAAAGGCTCCTAAATAATCGGTTAAATGAAGAAAAATATTACTCAAAAGATTATGATGTGAATGAAATGCAAGGATAGTCCTCACTAGTGTATTACTTAGGGAGGTCTTTTTACAGAGAGGGATATTCCTTTCAGTGATGAATTACCTTGTTGAAGAGTATGGACATGAAAAAGAGATCCAACAGCATGGTCTCTGAAAATGCTTCATAGTCAATTTTGAAAAAGAGCACAGTGAAGATGACTGTGACATACTGATACGTCGGGCTGCTGAAAGAGGACCGTAGCAACTTCAGACCAGCAATGGTGATCATTAAAGCACCTAATCTATAATAAAGAGAAAGCACAGCTCATCAACCAATGACTGGAAACTTGAAAAAATCTACTAACTTCAGAAAAATCACCACTGCATTTACTAACCTGACTATATATATATATATATACACACACACACACACATATATATACACACACACACATACACATATACTCACACACATATACAGTCTATCTGGAAAAAGTCCAGCTATTGTTATATAACAAGAACGGTTTGCACAACATTGACGAGACCTGGCAGCCAAGGACAGCAATGTTCATGTGTGAACAACAACGGCTTCTCTGTACCAGTCAGTTGGGGCAGGAGACACTGTTGAGTGAGCATGTGTACTGTGTGGCCATTGCATTCAAGATGACTGAGCCAGCAGAGCAATGAATCTGCATCAAATTTTGCACCACACTTGAACATTCCTCCAAGGAAACTATTCAGGTGATTCAGAAGGCCGCAGTGACAGGCAACTAGTGATGCGCAGATTCATCACAACAACGCACTCTCTCATGTAGAGATTTTTGGCGCAACATCAATTCACCCAGGTGACTTAGCCCCCTGAGAGCCCAGATTTGGTGCCCTGTGACTTCTGGCTTTTCCCGAAACTAAAATCATCTTTAAAAGGGAAGAGATTTCTGGCCGTCAATGAGATTCAGGAAAATACAATGGGGTAGCTAATGGTGACTGAGAGAACTGTGTGAGGCCCCAAGGTGCCTACTTTGAAGGGAACTAAGGCATCATTGTCCTATGTACGATGTTTCTTGTATCTTCTTCAATAAATGCCTCTATTCTTCACAGTACATGACTGGGTATTTTCTGGACAGACTGTGTGTGTGTGTGCGTGTGTGTGTGCGTGCGTGCGTGCGTGTAAAATTTAAATGTCTAAAAATGACTTCTATAGCTAAGCAAAACACATCCTATAATAAACTATCATAATATTCCCCTTTAATATGTAGTATGATTCTTACTCTTTATATAAATCAGTTTAAAATATAAGTTAATAGTATTACAATTCTGACATTTGGTTCTCTGGTTTCTCAATATTTCTATTGCTTTAACATTAGTAACATTCAGCACTTAAAAAAACATATTAACACTTACCCGACAACATGTGCTTAGTCTAGTGGGTAGTCGGACTATATGATAACTACACAGGGTGGGGCAAAAGTAGATTTTTTTAATGAAAAATACTACAATAATTACTAAATAATAATAGAAGAATAAACTGTGTTTTACATACTAACAACATACTCTTGCCCTACCCTATATATGGTCAGATTTACACAGTACATAAAAATAATCATTTCCCAAACGTACCATCTAATATTAAAGGCTAATCTTATTTAATAAATGTCCTCTCACAAAATACCAATTGACAATGAGATGTCTGGAGTAGTGAAATGCCAAGAACAGAAACAGATATTCAGAAAAGGGAAGGCAAAGAAAAAATTTCATCTGGACTTTTTATCTCACAGTGCCTTGCACCAAAAAGACACTCAATGATTATTTGTTACTTAATGAGTAACTTTAAGACATAGCTCATGATTGTCCCCAGCAGTCCAACTGAAATTAAAGGAGTATTATACTTACTCTGTATCCAGTTTTTTTGGACTAGCAATTGTCTCCGCACTGCTACTAAGTTCATTAAGGACAATCAATGGATAGATGATATTCTTCTCCATAAAAAGAAGCCACACATGAAGTTTCTCAAACCACATCATAGTGGCTGCATCTAACAAGGGAATATAAGTCAAGGAGACCACGTCATCTAATGCATAAAACAGTTTGGCAATGTGATGAGAAAGGAAATCTTACAACTCAAAATCAGCTCTATTATAAATAATGTAAGAAATCCAGTACTTTAATCAATTGTCAACTTCTATGACTTCTGAGACACATGCAACTTTGCAACTTAAATGTAATTTAAATAATGTAAATTTAAATGTAAAAAAATGTAAATTTAAATAAATTTAAATTTATTTTAATTCTTAAAACCTCAGGTTTTTAAGTTTTTTAAAGTTTTTTTAATCATGTTTCTTTTATTACAATTGTCTCAACTTTTCCCCCTTTGCCCCCCTCCACCCATCCCACCCCCATCCACCACTCCCACAGTCAATTCCCACTCTGTTGTCCATGTCCACGGGTCATTCAGACATGTTCTTTGTCTAGTCCCTTCCCCTTCTTTCCACCATTGTCCTCCTTCCTCATCCCCTCTGGTCCCTTTCAGTCTGCTCCATGTTTCCATGCCTGTGGTTTATTTTGTTTGTTTGTTTATTTTGTTGAACAGATTCCACTTACAGGTGAGATTATATGGCATTTTTAAAACCTCAGTTTTTACACATAACTTTTTCTCACTCATGCCAGTAACTTTTGGACAAAAGTTTACTTTATTAGACTGCTCCTTTGTATTTAAAATCCCAAAACACACACATACATACACACCTTATAAGACATACATCTAAGAAGAGAGAGATGTTTTTGATTCACACACTTCATAAGAGTCATTTTCACTCCCAATATTTTTTCCAATACTTTAATATTTAAATTTCATTGGGGAAAGTATCTAGGATAATCTGAACGATTTAAAATAAGGTTTTTTGGCTATATGATACAATGTCACCAGACTTTAGGAAATTCTCTAATGAATTCTCTTTCAGCTGCTAAAATCAGTAGAAAGAGGGGGGAAATCAACATTGCTAATATCTACTACTTTCAATAAGTCAAAAATGTTATATTGATTCAAAATTTGTAAAATTTAAGATCAAAAATAAAGAAACAATATGATCAATGATTTACTTTAATGAAAATTGCTATTTAAAACAAACCATATACACTTGTTATCATTTACATATGAAAGCAATACTGATAGTTTATCATTAAAAAACATCATTCTGAGATATTTTCTTCATGGTAAGAATCAACCAGTACAGATTCTTATACAGCTTTATGTTATTTTCCCTTATTTAAAAAACACATATTTTATAAAGGGTCTGCACCATGCTAATACTGCAACCTACACATTAGTGATTCATTCAATTCTCTCTCCAGGATCAATCTGGGAACCAAGATTACAGTGCATCCTAGGGAATTTGCTTTGGGAATGCAAAGTCAAGATTGGTATAGAAAACTTCCCAAAACTTTAGAGTTCTCTAAAGAAGATACTATACCTTCAAACAATTGAGGGATTTCCTCTCTATAGTAATTTACTAACTGAAAAAAAGGTTGAGAAAAAAGATTGACTTGTTTAGTCACTAGTGTGTACTAAATGATGACATATATATGAACTTTTATTATTTCTCTAACACAAGGAATATTACAGGTCATGGGGCCAACAAGACTGACTACTTAACAGGACAGAAGAGTCGGGGCATAGAGGGGCAAGCAGGAAGCTTGCCAAGCAGACTGGACTTAGATCTTTTTTTGAGTCATTTTATACTTTATCCCAAATCTGAACTAATAGCAGCAATTACAAATGTTTTAACTTCTTCTCACCTCTTCAACTCTTTTATACCCCTCTATGGTAGGACACAGTGTCTCTGGTGGAAATAGGAACAAAGACCTTTCTATTCTCCCTAAAGCTTTGAGTTAAAATATTTTCAATAGAAGCCCTAGAGAGGACTGTGTTTCCTGCATATGGCAAGGAACATTAAATCCAAAAGTAGTGGCTGGAAAGAGAAGTCACAGACACACATGGAAGGATGCATCAACGAGGTCTGTGAAGAACAATTTTGAGGAGGAGGAAGTTTCATTCTGTGGAAAGTTGCACAGCAGCACTGATACTTGAACTAAAATTAAAGCACCCTGCAAAAAGTTTGACTCATTACAGCTTCAAACCTAAGCAGAAGAAACATAGCCAAAGTCTTACTTATTTAACTGATATCTGACATCTGACCACAGTATTCAACAGAAGGGCATTAATGAAACACTTACTTCGAACTTCATACTGATTATACTCCACTGTCTTCAGCAGGGGGTGGGAGAAACAGTGCCATGGTAGCTGCTTCCTAACTTGAGGGAGCACATAGTGGGTGACAAAACCTATGAAGCCAACCAGTGCATACAACACATACTTGAGAGCAGGCTGAAAAAGGAATACGGTTGAGAAAATTAAGTGTTTTTGAGACCCATGAGAGAACTTCTAATTTGTCAGTTTAACTTTCCATTTGACACTGGAGAACAGCAAAGTCAATTTTAGAATCTAAGAATTAAACATTTGTCTACAGTTTCTATAGTAGAAACTATATGTAGTTTCTTCTGATTATCAGTTATCAAAGTTAGTGATTGTTCATGTATTACAAAAATTTTTAAATGTGTTTACTACTTTCTTTGGTGTCTCACATTAACGTACAATGAGAGAGAGGCCCGAAGTGTATTGCTTCCTATTCTAAGAATGTTCTATGTGACTTGCAGAATAATGTATTAAATTGTCTTAACTAGTACAGATAAAGGACATGTGCTAAATAAAATTGTAAGTCTGAGTGAAGAGCAGACTAGGATGGAAAAAAAAGAATTCTCTTTTTGTGCCTTCACATGGTATCTCATTAGAATAGAGTTCTGATGTCTATCTAAATTAACAAACGAGGAAATCAAGTACCATTGCTTCAAATATTCAAATTAAACATCACATATATAGAAATTCTGGAACCGCTTGGACAGGAAGAGGCCTCCACCTGAGCCCTGAAGACCACTAGGCCTGACTCAGTTTGCAAGTGCTCAAGAATTAATAGTTAAGTTAGAAGAGGAAAAAAACCGGGCAAAAATGTTAAATAAAATTAAGCAATACAACTTTTGCTTCTGGCCAAATGGAATAATAGGGATTCACTCTCCCACATGGACCAACCAAAACAGATTAAAATATGTGAACTGAATGGCTTGCAATACTCCAGACATAAAGTAATAAACAGAGAACCCCGAGAGAAAGGAAACCAGTGAGGTCAGAGGCAGCACTGCCCCGGTTTGCTGCCCTGAGGGGGTTTCCAGGCTGCGGAGCAGGGAGGGGAACCACACAAAGCCTGGAGCCTGGAGGTGACAGGAAGGCACTGAGCGCCTGGACAGGCTACGGCAATACAGCAATACGTACAAAGGAGAAAAATGTGAAGATCTGCAGAGGGGCTCCCTTGCGTATTCAGGCAAATAAGCACAAGTGTGTGAAGAAACTCGATGAGACCAGAGAAAGAATCATAAAGGATGGGAGAGAACAGTATCCAGCACACACAGGGCTCAAAACAGTGCCCATTCCTAGAGCCACGCTGGAACAGCTCAGGACTCACAGGGCGCTGGCCAGAGTCTTCAAAAGGGTATAACCTACAGGGGGAGTATTAGCCCTCCACTAAAAACAGCCCTGGTTTCACTTAAATCGGAAAAGCAGGGGCTGAAACAAGTCTGTTAACAAGTAACTACCGAAAAACAAAATTCGAAACGAATTCTAGGAATATAAAAATATCTAATACACAACAAGGTAAAATTTATAAAGCTCGGCATCCAATAAAAATTACCAAACATGTAAACAATCAGAAAATGATGGCCCATGAGGGAGAAAAACATCAATTAATCAAAACCAACCTGCAAGTGACAGAAGTTAGAATTACGAGAGAGAATAAGAATGGAATGTTCAAAAAGTTAAGCAGAGGCATGGAAAAATAAAAGATAAATAAAATAAAGAAGACAAATTTAAGATGAAAATTATAAATTCTGAGATGAAAATATGCTGGATGGGATTAATGGCAGATTATACAATACAGAAAGATCAGTGAAGTTGACAATATAGTCATAGAAAATATTCAAAATTAAATACATGTACAAAAAAAGAATAAAAATGAACAGAGCATCAGTGAACTATGGGACAACGTCAAGACATCTAAGATGTACAAAAGTGAAGTCCATGAGGTGTAGCTGAGAGAGGATTAGGGAGCAAAGCAGAAAGAGAAGGACAGAAAAAACACGTGAGGCCAAAGTTTTTCAAATTTGATAACAACTAGACCAGAGAGTCAACGTAACCCAAGCACAAAAACATGAAGGAAACTATGTGAAGCTACACAACCCAAGTGACAGTGGGGAAACAGAGATCAGCACCAAAGGAGGAGGAGCACTGGGGGCGGGACTGTATGGCCCGTAGGTGAGCAGGACTGTGCTGGAGGGATGAGACCCGAAGGCCTCGCCCACACCCGGGCCCAAGTCAGAGGAGGAGGCTCCAGACTTCTAGGTGTATTGGAAGGAGAGTTGGGGGAATTCATATGTTTCAGCAGAATGAATAAACATTACAATCAAATCAGAAATGAGTCCAACAGGTTATTTTCTCCCAAATAAAAGACCCAAACAATTCCTTACCTGCAATACTGTGAACACTGTGCTTACATGAATAGCAAAATATAGCACTCCAATCACAATGCATACTACTAGGTCAGACTGTAAACGTTCACTCTGAAACAAAACAGAATTATCAAATAATTACATAAAAATTTGAAAAGATATTTCCTTCATTTCCAACTAGCAAATTGCTTAAGAAACAGTTTTTTCACTGATCCTATTTTTTTTTTAGAACTTCTAGAAATTTCATAGCTACAAGTCTTATTTTCTTCCTTAATTTCCTCATTATTTTCGTTTGACACTGCAATACCAAGGAAATTAAGCTTACTCAGCTAGTTCCACACACTATGTAACATATCATAACAATGTCTTTTATAATGAAGCTGTGTATTTTTTTCCTCTAATGGTCTCTAAGTTTTATGGGAAAAGGAAATGAGGTACTTAAGTTACTGTATCACTTATAGGGCATATCCTTTTGCATAATAGTTATATTTTCATTAATCTTTTAAAATATTGAAACTGAATGCATACATCCTATGTTACTGACTGGATTTTTGGTTCTTTTAGTGGTTGTAGTAAAACCCAGGAACCTCTACATATCTCTGGTTATTGACTGACTCGTAGACTTATACTTTGAAGCAGGATTCAGAAGTAGTCTACACTACATGTAACATTAAATATCCTTTGCTAACATAGAAACTAAAGTAAAAAATATATATATCCTGAGGCAGTTTTGTATTTTCTAAAGAATATATGACCAGCCCTGACCAGTGTGGCTCAGTTGGCTGTGCATCGCCCTGCAAAGCAAAAGGTCGCAGTGCAGTCCCCAGTGAGGGCACAGGCCTGGGTTGCGGGCTCCACCCCCAGTCTGGGGGCACGTGAGAGGCAACCGATCCATGTTTCCCTCTTTCTCCCTCCCTTCCCCTCTGTCTAAAAATAAATAAATAAAATCTTTAAAAAAAAAAATACGTGAATAGCTCCAGTTCACGGAGGGTAAATACTGTGTCTACTTCTAGACCTCTATAAGAAGGTCTGTCTTTCACAAATGAAAAAAATCTAAAATAACAACGTACAAAAAGAACTTTATGTTTTACTCCATAAGGCAGATATGAATTTATAGAATTCATTTTTCAAACCATCACTAAAGGAATGCAGGCAACATTAAAATTCACTAAATTAGAAAATTTTTAAAATTACTGTATTTACTTAAGTATATTAAATTAGTCCAGGTTTTTGTTCTCTCCTTCAACCAGGAAAATCAACACACACAAGACATACTTTTCAGACTCTCCTTGAGAAATAAAACACACTAACAGACTAACGGATGACTTACAAGGACATAGTTTTTAATCAATAAGATCAATAACAACAAACTCTAATTTATGTTAATATTCTTCTTTCAAATCCCAGTTTAAGTGAAATAGAATTAAGATGTCTGTAAACAATGAAATGACTTAATATCACCTGATCTAAAAATAAATGTTTAGTATGCTGTTCTACGTAGAAATCAATTTGAGGAATGAGCATTTCTTTCATGTTAAAATTTTAAATAAAGGCAATCAACAATGTATAACTAATATGTAACTATATAAAGTTATGATATATAGCTATGCATTTCCCCCAATTATTAAAGGCCTTTAAAAACTATTCATTATATAAAATGATGAACTGTATAAAATTTAAGTCTTTTAAGTGATTTTGAAAAGCTTAAACTTACAACAGAATTCCTAAGTTTTTCAGGCAGTGGATCTTTTACTTCAGACAAAGGATCTTCTGGATTTTTCTCTTCTGTTTTTGGAAAAATCTTAGATTGCATCAAAGAGCTTTATATTTTTAAAAAAGAGAGAAAATAATTAATATAAAAATATACATATAACATGAAAACCAACACTTCCAGTGGTAAATACAGGTCATGATAAAAAACCAAGTGATCCAAGTATACTTAGTTATTAGCAAATGATATATTTTAAAAAAGTTTAAGATGCCATAAATAATCAGAAATGCCAACTTATTTTAATTTTTTTAATTCAGTAACAACTAATTTCACTTACAAAAGTACAGATGGATCACTGCTTTGTCGGCTGAGATGATAGGATACTGCCACTAACAAACCACAAAAAACGGAGAAAAGTACTGGAATATGCTGGCCATCCCAAGAATCCTGTTGGGGGAAAAATGTGATAGATAATATGTTTCTAATTTATGATCTGTCATATAATCGTTTAGGTCAGTACTTCGGAGAAAAGTAACTAAATTCAACAAAAACCTTTTAAATCATATTATTAATTGCCTTTTATTCCAGATAAATTTAGATTTATAACTTTCTGATGAGCTGGAATCTAGCTGCTAGATTATCTTCAGATTTCTTTTGATACAAAAGCTCTATTTGCACACTAGGAATAATACCTTTGCTCCTGACGCATGCTGCTGTCAATCCCTTTCAGGTTTAAAGTGATATTAAGCTTACAGTAAACTATGTTCTCCATTTTGAAGAATAAAATAACTTGGTGTAGTAAGCTTTTGATTATAATAATAACAGAGGAGGAAAAAACAATACATGAAATCACATTAGGCCAAAGAAAATGTTAACATTTGATATGCTGCTTTCTTGATGCCGTTGCTCATATAATATGCCATTCTATCTTCCAGAGTACTGAGCAGGCATTCAGGGTTTCCTGAATGAATAAACTGTACTACTAACCAAAAGCTAGCTTCTAAGGCCTATCACACACGTGAAAGTGGCACGTCTGCTCTGCTCACTGCAATCTCTGGATTCTACTAGCACAGTACCTGGCAAAGAGTAGATAATACTAATTTAAATACTTCATCTTTCTCTGGGGATTTGGGAAGGAAAAATGGTAGGAGTAAGGAGCCAAATGATAGTTTATTATACAACTTGCTTTTATTCCCCCATTTAATAACAGTCTTAGAAATTGTTTCACATTGCAACAGACACCTTTTGTTTTAAAATGGCTATATCAAAATCTTATATTGAACACTATATATCAAGCCCCAATCTTAGATCTTTGTATTTCCTAAATAATTATTAAAACGATCCTTTGGAGATATGTACTATTATTCCGCAATTCATACATGAGGAAAAGCAAGGCACAGAGGGTGTAAGTAATGTGTTCAGTTAAGTGGTGGAGCCAGGGACCGAACTTCCTGGTGTTTACTGAGAAGACAGTTAATCGGTGAAGAGTTTGAGAAAAAAAGATAAATACGTAAGAAAACAAGTAGAAAAGAAAAAATGTATGCAGGAACACCACTTGCACAGCTGTGACAAGGTAAATGCATCAGGGCACGAGGGAGACAAGAGGACTGCCAAGGGCAGAGACCCGGAGTGAGGCGGGGGACGAAAACAAGCCAGCAGCTTCCGAAAAGCACAGTCAATGGATGATGCCTAAAGCTTAAGACTATACAAGGTGAAGAAATATGTTAGTTTCTTAGAGACATGAAGGTAAATACCAAAAAGAGCAGCTCAAATGGAAAGCAGTGACTATAAGGAAGAGATAAAGGGGCAGGGGATTGCTGTTCCTGGTGTGTCTTGAAATATTTGACTCTTTAAAATATATGCATGTTCAACTTCGGTTGACGGCAGATAAACTGTGACATATTCATGCAGTGGGAGTAAGGAGGATTTAAAACTAAATGGGATACTTCTCTGCAATAAAAAGGAGCAGACTACAGATACAAACAATGGAGATGAATCTCAAAAATATTATATTCAACAAAATAAGTCAGACACAAAAGAGTAAATATGGCACAATTCCATTTATGTGACAAGCAAGAACCACAAACCAAATCTACAGTAAAAAAGTGGTTAGGGCACGGTACTTTCTGGTGGTGATGGAAGTATTTTATGTCTTGATAGGGGTGTCTACTATGTAAGTGTACACATTTGACAGCACTTACCAAATTGTGTACTTAAGATATGTGCATTTCATGGTATGTAAATTTTGCCTAAATTAGAACAAGTATTTGGAAAAAACCCAAAAGATGCCTGCCTTTATTTGACAAATACTTGACACTACTTTTTACTGCTCTCAGATAAAAACAAGTGTCCTTAATTGATCTCAAAATGACTTATTTTATTACGATTAAGGATTTAGAATCATCACAGATTCAAAGTAATTCATGATTACATAAAAAGATAGTAACTGCCACCTTTATTGAGTCACTACCTATAAAAATAAAAAGCAAAACAAACTTAGCCACCTCTGAGTTTCTCTTGAACTCTTTGATTCAGAAGTAGGAGAAATGACAGAAACTATGAAAAAAAAAATGCTTAGGGAAGGTGACCTCATTCAAAAGATGAAAAGATGGGTTTGTTCTACCCACTACACCATGGAAGTTTCTGCTCTAATGGCCCAACTCTAGAAATCTTTTAAAGATATGAAAACATCTGCAAAGTACATTTACAAAGTAGTCTTAAAGAAAAATGTTTAGATTTCAAAGAACAAAAAAGTTCACGGAAAAACAAGAGTAAACACATGGAAAGCAGGTATCATGAAATAATGGATGTAAAAGTCTATTTTAGTGAATAGATCAAAATAAAAATTAAACTATTTCTAAATGTATGCAATGATATGTCCAAATGATTTCCACTGTCCAGAAGTTAATACTGTCAGAATGTCTTGTGTATTCTTCCATCATTATTCTATGGATAAACAAGCAATCATGTGTGTTTAAAAAAGAAAAAAAGCACAAAAGAAACATCCTTTTTTGGCATACTGCCTATCTTTCAAAAAAAATAAAAGAAAATGTGATGTGGTGTGGTGTGGTGTGGTGTGGTGTGTAGGGGTGGGGTGTGTGAGTGTGTAGTGGAATATTATTCAACCTTAAAAAAATAAGGAAATCCTTTCATTTGCAACAACATGGATGAAACTGGAGGGCATAATGCTAAGAGAAATAAGCCAGAGAGAGAACGACAAACACTACTGAATGGTATTAATTATATGTGGAATCTTAAAAAAATTTAATTCGCAGGAACAGTAGAAAAGTGGTTGCCAGAGGCTAGGATGTGGGGGAAATAAGGAAAGGTTGGTAAAAGGGTACAAATTTTCAGTTATAAGATGAATAAGAACAGAGGATCAAATATATGACATGGTGACCATAGTTAATACTGTTTTACAAAACAGAAATTTACTAAGAGTGTAGAAATTAAATGTTCTCACACACACAAAAAGGTAAATATATGAGGTGATTGATGTGTTAATGGGGAAAGTCCTTTCACAATGTATGCATATACTGAATCATCATACTGTACACTTTAAATATCTTATAATTTTATCAATTATATCTCAACAAAGCTTGAAAACAAACAATATCTCTTAGAAATCATTACGTATTAACACACAAAAATCAGTTTTATTCTTTATCAGTTGTATAATATTCCACTGTATGGCTAGATAAAAAAATGACCATTCATAAATGAGAAGTATTAGTTATTTCCAGCTTTTTGCTGTTATAAACACTGCTATAATGAAATCCCCGCACATCATCTTTGCTCATGCACATAACTAAACCTGAAAATTTGTTACGTTATAACGGGTGACATCTAAAACTAAAATAGTCTAATGAGAACACCATGACTAAGAAAGAAGAGAAAAAATTTATTCTCCTACCTACCTTAGGACACAGGGCTCTTAGTTGGCAATTTTATAATTGCTGCTCTTCTGCTACACAATTAAACAGGCCTTTGTAAGCTAGCCATTAAAACACTAACCACACTGTTCACTTCTGTAACTGCAGCTTCGAAATAATGATTCACTTAACAAAACATGACTCAAAACACAGATCTAAAATCTTACATGAGGTTTTACAGGTGGTGCAGGTGGGAGAAGCGTGGATTTGGATCGCACTGCCTCCGGTTCCTTCCCGGGCTTAGCTCCATCAAATAGCTCCCTCTCTACTAGACTTTTCTCCCTTCCCCTTTAAATGCAATCAAGTTTCAGACCTTTTAAAAAAATCAAAAACCAGAAAACAATCCCCAGCATATGCACCAGTTTCCAACTATAGTCTAGAAAGAGTAGAATACATTTCCTTAATATCCATCCAAACCTCAATTTAATCTGGCTTCTTCAGCCCAAACACCAGAGCTGCTGCTTTTGTTACAGTCACCAGTATCCTATTTACTGGCAAGTTCAATAAAAACTGTTTTCAGACTCTACTGCCTCTGAAGTCTCCTTTCTGTTCCCCCCAACACTTAAATATTGGCATTTCCCAGGGTTCTACCCTCACCTATTTTCTCTTACCAATCCACATTAGCAGTGTCTTTCTTACTCTCGATTTAATTTTGTTGATGAATTCTAAATCTATTAATCACTACCTCAAAACTTTCTACATATAACTTTCCACTATGTATCTCTGGATACCCCATAAATGTCAACAAATAAACATGTACATATTTAGGCCACCACCGTCCTCACTAAATGCTATGGTTTCCAATTCTGTGCATTAATACCCCTATCTAGTTGGTTGTGCAAGCCAGACCCTACCCAAAATCATTTGGAGCTTATTCTGGCTCTTCTTTCTTTATCCAGAGTCCCCAAATACATTCACTGGATCCAATTTTAATTAAGCCCCTCATAATTTCAAGACTGCAGAACAAGAGTCCCTCTGCTTCTGATCCTTCCTGCTTATATTTCCATCTCCTTCACACTGTGGACCAAGTGATATTTCTGTAATGCAATGTTGATCATTTCCTTGCAATACTTCCCGTATTTTGATGTTCCCCCGTCCCTGCCCCAACACGTTCAGGATGAAAGGGATTCCACAGGCCAGCTGTGGCTTACCTTCCCAGCCAGACTAAAGGCCAGCTTTCCCCATGCACCAGACCTCAGCAATCCCAAATGACTTGCTGTTTCCTATACGCACACACTTTCTTTATAACTCCATGGCACTTCCTCCCTTGTTTCAATTAACTAATTCCCATCTGTCCTTCAAATTTTGATTAAAAAGCCACCCTTAACAATTTACCATTAATCCCTTATGCTGAAGAAGGTGATAATTAGTATACTCATAAGACCCTGTTTTCACAGCCTTCATCACCCTCTATCGAAAATGTTTGAGTCTCTTTTCATAGTCCTTTCAATGCTATTATTCCCTGATTGCATTGTACTAATCATAAAAAAGAATTAGTAATAGAGATTGAGGATTGTTTATGAGAAATTTAAAATTTTTGTATTTATAATTTGGTGATGATCTTTTAAAAAAGGAGCTAATAAAGCTCATCCAAATCTTTCTAAACCAATACCATTAAATTTCAATGCATTCATTTTTACTAGAATGTATCTTAAATTGCAGTCTTTGAACTTGTCCTCATAAGTTTTACAAAGTCTTGATATGAACAGTAGTTACATATATTCTTAACTAGAAATTTAAAATTAATTTTATATTAATACCATGCCCACCTCTATCCCAGACTATTCTAAGTTTTAATAATCTGTTTCTAATATTAACCACTGATAATCGCAGAGAAACGGATTTTCTTTTAATAATGGCTAACTATGAAATTGCTTGCAAATTCAAAGTAAATGAGCATGAGAATAATGTTCAATGTAGGAAGACTGAAAATTCATGCTAAAGTGGCACCAGGATAAAAAGATCATTATTAATCGATTTAAAACACTCTTCATATAGAAAAATAGGCGTTAAGACAAAACCGACTACAACACACTGCTTACCTTCAAAGCGCCATAACACAATCCATACAGTAAGGCAACTGCCACAATGCTGCAGATAAAACTGTACAGTGCTGCAAACAGGCTTGTTGTGGCTAGACAGAAAAGGAAAACAATGCTTCAAAAACATTTATGCAAAAAACTCCCAAAAACCTGTTATCTTAAAAGGGCACGGAAAAGTATTTAAAATTGTATATTGACTATAATTAAGTCTTTTCATTTGATTTTTTAAAATTCAGTTATGTCATTCTGTATTTTCAAAAGATTCAGAAATTACAAAGATTTACTATTCACAATTTCTGATACAAGGTAAAATATATTCACTTTGGAAGTAATGAACATTTATACATAGCGAAAAAACTCATGGCTTATGACAAAAAATAGAACCAATGGAATTAGCAGTGTTAAGGGATAGGGGATGGCTAAGATAGCGTGCCTTTATTTTTAAAATATAGATTACAGATTTCCTTTAATGGTAATGTTATATGGTTAACAAAAAATATGTCTACGGGAAAAATTTTTCCTTAGGAAATATTAAAAAAACAGCACCTTGCACAAGTCTATAAATTATAGTATGACAAAGCCCACTGCTCTAAATTACCTACACTAAATCCTCTCCATAGTATTTAAAGTAATATAGCACTTGTATTGGTCCCTAAATAATGAAACTGTCTTCTAGTCATTAAGCTATGCTGAAGACCAGCCCAGTCTTAATTCGTGCCCTTTTCAAAAATTTTTCAAAACATCAAAACTGCTCTAGATACACAGCAACATAGAAAAGGCTTAGTTTCTATTCAAAATTTAAGTCACATAAGCAGAGATCATTTCAATGCATATATTTGGAATATAAATGAGGACTGCAAATGTGAAGTATAAAGAGAAATGGATGATAAAGTTACAGTAATTTCTTTCACTTTTGTATTATTTCTCTAGTTGTATATACATCTTTCAGCAAAATTTTAAATCGTTAAATCAAGTAAGAGTGTATTTTAACTACGGTGGTTGCCCATAGGGTTACTGTCGAATTACCCAAGCCGTCTTCACTCCAGTGTGATACTGTTCTCACTTATTTTGAAAATGAAATAAACATGTGATAGGGAAATAATTTCTAAGTATATCAATTCATAACCAAACATTCTATTCTAAAAACAGAGGTACTTCTAAAAACCTTATTTAGGAAAATGCTTTTACTAAAAGCAGTCTGGTTTTGGTGTTCCCCTTTTAATGATAAAACAAAGCACTAAAACCAAATACATAGGCACATTAAATGCAAAATAAATGATCTTTTCTAAGTATTTCAGAAATCTATACATGTTCCATGTAAACTCACTATAACTTGAAGTTTTAGATAACAATGTCTTATCACTTCTTATAAATCAACTCCATTATTCCTGTACCTTTCACTAAAGTAGCAGACTTTATTGCTTTTTCATATTTATAAATTAATTCCTGCTCAGTCATCAATTACTAAATAAGTGTACTTTTCTTTCTAATTTCAATTCTAAAATGAAAATTTAAAAATTAAAAACTTAATTTTTCAGTGTATTACTTAATGATCTGTGAAAGCAATACTGTCAACTGTAGTTTTTATGAGGAATTACTCACCATTACCACCAAAGATATGAATATCCAATTGTTCACAAAGGTACATTACAAATGTATTCACCTGAGGCAGGAGACCAACGAAAAACACTATTGGAAAACAGAGTGTAAACACTATAAAAGGAAAGAAAAGTAAATTAAAAATAATATACCTCATCCATCATTTTGTTCATTTAAGATCATAAAATGATCAAAAAAACAAAAGTAACATAACTACAAAGCAATTTTTTAAAGATACCATTTTATATTATTTCTCTCTACATAACTGCTTGGGTATTAAATAATCTTTTCAACTACAACAGCTTTTAAAATTGTTCCAACCATTTTCACATCACAGAAAACTGCTACAGAAACTGAAGGAAACCTTTCATCATCTTCCTCAAGAACAGAAGAATTACCATATTTACTAATTATCTTTTCTTCATTCATAATAGTCTTATAGTTCTGTTCCTCACAGAGAGGACTACAATGAATAACAAAATAAACCTATTAAAACTACTTATATCTATATATTTGATCTATTTATCACTATATCGTATACAAATAAATTAATGTTAAGATCTGAAATACTTTAAAGATGACTCACCTATAACTAAATCCCTGGCTGATACAAGCACCAGTGGATTGGTGAAAGTGATTCCATATAATTTGAACTTGGTTGTAGTGAGGTTTCGGCTTCCATAATCCAAGAGCCAAATGAGACCACAACATAAACAGAAATAAACTGGTCTACTATAGGCAATGATACGATTATGACCCTGAAAATGATATGTAAAAAGTCAGTTTGGTTAATTTTAAGAGTTACAACTAGATACTGAGATCTTTGATGGTTTGTGTCCTAAGGATTCAAAATGTTTCCATGTGGAAGCCTGGTTTCTATCACAGAAGAGAATTACAAATATGGAAAGGAAGAAGAACTGAACGAACCCCGTGATACTGGAATGAATTACAGGTATCAGTATGAGCTCACTATTATTAGTATCTATATAAACAGAGTAAGAATGGGGGGGTGTGTGGTGTGGGGGGGATGGGGTGGTGTGTGTGTGTGTGTGTGTGTGTGTGTGAGAGAGAGAGAGAGAGAGAGAGAGAGAGAGAGAGAGAGAGAGAAGTTGATCCCTGAACAATTCTGGGTTAGGGGCACTGACACACACACACCCCCCAAAGTCGAAAATCTGCATATAACTTCTTACTCCCCAAAAACTTAACTACTAATAGCCCACTGTTAACCGGAAGCCTTACCAATAACATAAATAGCTGACTGACACATACTTTGTGCCCTCTATGTATTATACACTGTATTCTTACAATGAAATAATAAACTAGAGAAAAGAAAATGTTATTAAGAAAATCATTAGAAAGAAAAAATACATTGAAAAAATATCTGTGCATATGTAGACTGATGTAGTTCAAAGCCATGTTGTTCAAGGGTTAACTGTATACACACACACTTATTCTTGTATCTATTTATATAAGTATGTATATGTATGTACATATGTATATACCTACATATATTTCCTAGCTTTATGCAATGAAAAAACCCAGAAGCAATGACATTCTAGGAATACAGATTACTACCATCCAGGTCTTACTTTATAAATACCATTATTCACTTAAAAAAAAAATCAGGGCTCCATAGAGGAAAAGCTGGTTTCAGGCTAGTGTAAGGAAAAGTATAAGATGAACTTGGAGTACATTGTTGTGCCCCACCCCCTACAAAAGGAAGAACTTAAAGAATGAGAAGGATATGTTGAAAGGACACACAAGGCAGCTTGATGAACTTCCAATGGTCAAATCAGAAACATCAAAAAAAAATAATGTTAGTAACATCATATATAGTTGATTAGATAAAATAAGAACTCATGAATCTATACCAATACAAAAAATAGAGACAGAAGGAGATGTTATTCCTTATAGTAAAAAGTCAACAAATGAATGTAGAGGGAACGATGGAATTAGAAAATCACTATTTGCAACTAGCAAATGATGGTTCAGGCAAGAAACATCAATAGATATTGAAAAATAAGTGGGTGGAAGTCTAAGGGGCAAGTGAACATATATATTATCTCAAAGTATCTCCCTATAAGATATTTAACTACAAGAGAAAAACAATAACATTACAGTAGAGTAGTGGTTCTCAAGGGAGTGGGAGGGGACTCTGACACCCAAGGGCCATCTGGCCATGTCTGGAGACATGCTGGCTGCCACAGCTGGGGTGGAGGCACTGATATCTAGTGTGTAGAGGTGAGAGATAAAACTAAATATTGTATAATGCACAAGACAGCACCCTAATCTGCAACAAAGATTATCCAGCCCAAAATGTTAATACTGCAGCGGTAAAATATCCTGCAAACGCTACCCTTAGGCAAAAGATGAAAGTTTACATTATGAACAAAAGAATAAATAAACATCACGTTCTTCCTGAAGTGATGCCCTGAGAACAGACCACTTTCGTAGTGTTCTTACCAAAAAAGCTTAGCCTGTATCTAGTCAGAAAGAAATAGACAAACTCAAACTGAAGGATGGTCTACAAAATAACTGGCCTGTACCCGACAAAAATGCCAATATCATGTAAGATGAAGGAACTGCTCCAGATTAAAGCAGGTTAAATAAACCAAATGCATACTCAGCGGTGTTTTATTGCCAATTGAGAAAATAGGAAACACCCGAGTAAGAATTGTAGCTTAGAAAATAGAATCATCAATATTAATGTTCTGATTCTGATAATTATATCAAATTAATGTAAATAAATGTTCCTGTTGCTAGGAACCACACACAGAAGTATTTAGAAGCATAGGGGCATCATGTCAACAATTCACTCTCAAATAGTTTAGAAAGAGTGCATGTGTATGTGAGTGTGAGTGCGTGCGTGCGTGCGTGCATGTGTGGGGAGAGGGGGAGAGAGGAGAACTAGAAAAGGAGTAAGCAAATACGGTGAAATGTTTACGCAGGGATCTGGGTGAATGGCAGCAGGAATTCTTTGTACAATCCTTGCAAATTTTCCCTAAGCCTGAAATTATGTCAAAATAACAAGTTACAGCCAATAATTCCACATATCATTACACTTCAAAAGCATTTTTACAAAATAATAAAAAAGCAGTTGAAAGAAAATCATGTGCCTCCTTGTTTTGTTTTGCCCATCTACTCTCATTATTAAGTGCCCCAGTGCATGGGTGAAAATAGTAACTGTATTCAAAAAAGAAGCCCTGGCTGGTGTGGCTCAGTGGACCGGGTGTTGGCCTGCAAACCAAGGGGTCAACGCTTTGATTCCCACAGGCCTGGGTTGCGGGCCAGGTCCCCAGTGCGGGGTGCGTGGGAGGTGACCACACATTGATGATTCTCTCCCACTCTTTCTCCTTCCCTTCCCCTTTCTCTAAAAAGTAATGAATAAAATCTTGCAAGAGAAAGAGAGAGAAAAGAAAGAAAAAAAGAGGGGAGGGGAGAAAAGGGGAGGGAAGGAGAGGGAAGAAAGCAGGCATCACTACGAACTGTGTTTGGAGTCTGGTTTGGAACTACTTTAAAGAGAATGTCCTTTGGTCTTTTTATTAAATAAATATTCTAGAGCGAGGTTTAAAACTGAATCATGCTTTACAATAAATAGTCATAGGCAGCTAATACTTTTGTCTAAAGTCCCAAAGTGAAGAACAAGATTTTTAATCATCTTAGTGTCAACAGGTCTAAATATCAAATTAATTTATTACTTTTTTATTCTTGCTCCTAATGATTACTTAAGCAAAATAATGTAAAGTTTCTCCTACCTCGACATTCTATTTTTCAATACTTATTCATGATTTATTGTTCAAAATTTATCAAATGCAAGTTATCAAATAACCGTGAGTTTACATGAACCACGTCTACCTAATTAAAAACCTCCACTTGAAATAGGTTGTCAAAAAAATATATTATGCTCATTTTCAACCATGATTTAGAGTCCACAATTACAATGCCATTTTATTTCATGTTAATAAATCACCTATATTTCTAGTAGTGTGTCAAAACTTACATGTGAATATAATAACATAAGTCTTAACTCAATCTGACATATGACCTAAAAAAGGTTTTAATGAATATTAAAGAGTTACAAGCATATCAGAGTGACTTACATGTCTGGGGGAAGAAGAATCTGGTTGAACACTCTAAAAACAAAACAGAAAGGCAGATTATACTACTGAAGTCCTGGTCACTTTACAAGCTACTTTCAAATCCCTGAAATAATTTCAAGTAAATATTCCACAGCTAAGAAATGACCTACATTAATTCTGCTGAAACGTCAGCAAAAGACAAAACATCATCTCCAGATAGAGGTGTCACTGTAGTATTAGAAAACATCTCAAATCCTTCCTGACTCTTCCTTATTATGGTTAATTAATCATTTGCATCTTGCTTAACATTTTGGAAATGGCAAATGGTATGTAGATCCATCCTAATGCCTGGCTCAGTACTACGAGTAAGTATGTTAAGGTAGATTGCTTTCTTTTTTTTTAATCTTATTTTTCAATTACAGTTTACGTTCCATAAAGCTAAACAGTTTCAGATGTACAGCACAGCGGTTAATCATATACTTTAGGTAAAATACATTCTAATGCAGCATCACTCCATTCAGGAAATGCACAAAATATGGGTTAGCTTATAAGAAGAATTCTAGTTCTGCCCACAAATTCCAAGTTTACTAAGCAATTCAATGTTATTTGTATCAAATATATTATCTGAGTTTTCACATCAAAATCAGCAAATAAGTTAGGCTATATCTTTATAAGAGACTTTATCAACTTTCCATAAAAATGTCCACAGGGTATTACTTCCCAAATCATGACTTTTTCTCCCAAGTTCCAGTTCACTTCCAATAGCACACCCAACAACTTCACTAGGATGACCTATCACCATCCTACAATTCTAGATTGGACCAAGCTTAGTGGGTTTGTCACGTGTCCCTTGGCTGGGTATGAGACAAGATAATCTTTAAATTCTTTCAAGACCTACCTGTTCATGCCTTTCTTATTTCTGTATATGACATTACTATTTTTCTAGTTAACTAATCTCAAAAATTTCAGTCATATTTTACGTTTTCCATATCTAACCACATTAACCTAAAAGCAGTGGACAAAATTAATGGGACAGGGAAGAATGGAACCAGGGAATAAATTTAAGTGGTTTAAGGCAATAAAGGAATGAATTAAAGTGGTTGAGATGGAAAGCAAGAACAAAGACCAGAAATTTTAACAAAGGAATCAAAGGAACTTGGAAGGAGTAGAGGTTCTAAGATTTTGAGTCAGTGTACTACTGTCAAAAGCAAAGCAATTGGGACAGGAAAATATTTATCAGAAGATGATGATGTGCTATTTTTAAAATGTGCCTATTAGATATATAGGACTAAAGCTTGTGAGAATGGCCAAGACTCTGAGATATGTATGTGGACATAAATTCATATATACAGACAATAAGTAAAGTAATAAAACAGGATGACTTCACTGGCAAAGAACTGCAAATTGAGAAGGCCAAATAAAACCCTAGAGAATTCTCCCAAACTAAGGAGTAGTCAAAAGAACAAAGAGGCATCAACAAAGGAAACCAGTTAACTGAAAAGCAGGATAATCATCACGGTAGTATAAAGTCACAGACAACTATGAGGAGAAGAGAAAAAGATAGTATTCATAAGTGTTCATTGAAAACTCACAGAGAATGAAGCCTAAGGACACAGATTAGCAATTTGAGATTATTAGCAACGACAGTGACTGTCATTTCAGTACTGCAATGAGGAAAAAGCATGGATGGGTCCTGGAGAAATGAAGCGGTGACACGGCGGCCACCTCCAGGTGCCCGGCTATCGGCACCTGCACAGCCAGCGGTGCAAACAGAACGAAACCAACAGTTTTCAGAACAGAGGAGTGTTCTTCATGAAAGCATAGATCAGTCAAATAAACAATACAAGTGAGAGATTTACTGGTTAAAAGAAGGAAAGGAAACAGTTCACGTTGACAGTCCACAGATTTTGCATAGAAGGTGAAAAATTCGTTAATTGATTCTCCCATTTTTAGAAAGCTTAAAATTGATAAATTTGGGTTATTTTAGAGCCACTATTAAAACAATAGCTAAAGGACATCAATCTTCTGTTTTCAATGTCACAAAGGAACACATATACTAGTTTTGATATTATTGAATCTATCAACAATGGGGTTTAATAAATTTCACAGAATAAAAGACTTAAAATATAGAAGTAGGAGAGTTAATGTTGATAAGTTTAAAAGAAATACATTTCAAAAATGCAAATTCTTATTTGTAACAAATGCCCAAATATTTTCTTTTAATACCAAAAACAGTTTTAAGAAAGCTTCATTTATATATAATTATTTTTTAAAAAGTTACTACGTCCCTTTTGTTTAAACATCCAATATATAAAAATAATTCAACAAATATCCTTGCTATAATTCAGTGAATGATATGAAACCTTCTACTTTTAACACCAATATTATTCCACTGTCTGTAAAAAAGAGAGATGCTGGTACCTTAAGCAGTGAGTACTGACAGCTGGCTATCACCAGGCAGAACTGGAAGACCCAGATATCTCTGAAGAAGCCTTGTATGAGAAGAATTGATCCCAAAAATGCCACAAGAATAGCCAGGATGACAGCTAACACATTTTCCAGGATCTCACGATTTCTGTAGATAGGAAAATTTATAAGTATATCATCAATGTAAGAAATTAATCAGAGTAAAATAAGGGAAGGCATCAATATGAAGTTCACATTATACCTGCTGAGATTTTTTTTCTGGTTCTAGGTTTGGTTAAGATTTTGGGTAACACTGAAAAAGAAACTAGTTTATGTGGAAAATTAAAATAAATAATGCATGCTAGAGTGGATTGTAAAGTTTTCATTTTAATGCATAATACAGTTTTAATTTCTATTTTAAAAACTTTACTCTTAACATCTTTTTCTGTCAAATTTGTTGCAAAATAATTAACCAACTTGGATGGCAAATTAAGGAGACTGTTTAAGATTTTACATTTAGGCCTATGATCCATTTTGAATTAACTCTTGTAATATGATGGAAGGTAAGGATACAAGTTCTTTTGCATAAGAAAATCCAATAGTTCCAGCATCAATTGTACTTTTCATCTCAGACATAAGTTTGATTTGGGAGATTATATATATATATATATATATATATATATATATATTCATGTATATATTCATATATTCCATGTCTCTATGTAACTTTTTAAACTTTATGAAGTAAGGTTGTAATAGTTGTAATGTCTTTGACTACTAAGTCTAATGCCGGTGAGTTAGATGTTGGCTTCAATTGACTCATTGCTTCTCTCACACATCACGTTTTATCCCTTCTTTGCATGGTTGGTAATCTTTGGATGCCAGACACTGAACCTTAACTTACTGTGTATGAGAATTTCTAGATTTCTACAAGCCTTCTTGAGCTTTGTTCTACTACTTGGAAACGGGTGTGATCCTTTCAGGTTTTACTTTTATGACTTGTTAGGTGAGTTTGGAGCAGTGTTCATGCTAGAACTAATTATTTCCCACTTCAAAGGCAAGACTTCCCTGAGTATGCTACCCAATGCACCGTGCCCTGTGAATGATGAGCTTCTTCCAGCTGGCTGCGGGGAAGAGGTTCCGCTCCTCTACTTCCTTCCCTCGGTTCTCTCCCTGCCCCCGGGCAGGTACATTCACTTACCAATACTCTGCTGGACAGTTGAGGAGACCCACTACAGATCTGAGAATCTCTCTCTGAGCCGTAATTCTTTCTCTGATGGTCTGTCCTATGGGCTCTTAGCTCCAACTCCAACGAGGGTGTCTGCCAGGCTCTGCTTTCGTACCTCCACCCTGAGTCACAGTCTGGGACTCTCTCAAGGTAGTAAGCTGGGGCAACTGTATGGTTCCCATGCTTCAACTGTCGGGAATCACTGTCCTTTGTTGTCTCATTTCTATGTCTTGAAAACCACTGTTTCATACATTTTGTCTGTTTTTCATTGTTTCAGGTAGGAGGATAAACCAGTCCTCATTACTCCATGTTGACTAGAATCAGCATTTAGTCACCAAGTTTATAATGGGCTAATACTGTTTACTATAAAGATTAGTGCTGAAAAATAGGAAAACAGAAGTTTTCCCCTTATGCCTTTTATATTTAGAGTCATATTACCTATAGTCTGATAATCATTAACATTCATTTTCTCTGAGTTTCAAGTACAGTTGCACAATACTTATTGATGATAAAAAGAAATTTTTTGTGTACACCTATTAAAATTGTCACAAAAAAGTTTTTAATGAATTCAAGAAAGTCAATGTTTGAGAACCCCATTAACTTAAATTTTATCTCAAAAGGATCAAAAAATAGAAAACATTTTCCAACATGGTAAGCAAGCAAAACCTTAATGAGTTATTAGGGATATTTCAAATTAAAAATAAAATCAGCAGACATCTTTAATATCACACTACCTCCTTACCTATCAAACAGGGCCAAAAGTGTGAGTCTGTCAAAGTTGATGCCGATCCACAGCTGGGGCAGGATCCAGAAACGATAGTAGTGTTTAACCTTTTGGGCAGCTTCTTCTGTTGGACCGTAAGTAGCTGCCAGGTCTGGGCTTAGATCAATGTCTTGTTGCTCCAATAAATCTGTATCGATGGTCAATAGTCTGTTTAACCGAATCTGTGGGAGAGAGAGCTAAAAGAAAGTTAGTGTTGAAAGGCTTAAAATATCTTTAATTAAGCCCTCATTCAAGGGCCACTCAATTAGCTTGCAGATTATCTAAGCCCTCTTAACTTTCTATACCAGTACACTCCTCGTGGATACTTTATAGCATTAGAAACTGCAGAATGGGACAACAGGAAGTGAACTAAAATAGAGCAAATTAATCAATAGGTCTTTTGGAAAGGTTTTATTAGAAATAGGGTTTGAAATCTTAACATTTTAACTAGTTTAACTAGTAAATCCATTAAAGTCACTTACAGTGAATCATTAATGGCTTCCCTTCTCCCTGTCACATTTATGGTCTTGACTCTTATTAAGCTGTGAACCTCATTACCATGTTAAATCTAAGCTCCTCCGCATTGGATTCAATGCCTTCAACTCTCATCTATTACAGTCTCTTCTCACTGTCATTATTGTTTTCAAATCCCTCCTTTAGCCCGCACCCCACCCTTTTTGCTTTGGCAGACTGCTCATGGGAGGTTTTCCAGGAAATGACCACATTACATTTCTTTTAGCTGTAACTCATCCATTCACCTGCTCACAAGATTCCCCTTCCTTGGAAAGAATCAAAAGTTTGCTGAATCTAGCAGAGCACTAGCCAGCGCTTAGCGATCTCAAGACTCCCATACATTTAACAGCAGAAAACAGTAACCATTTTCCCATTTTTACTTTCCTGTGGAGCTTCTAAGAAAACACTACAGCAAAAAGATGTAAGGATGGTTTTCGTTTTTCAAACACATGCATGAGTATAGGCAAGAAAGTCTGACTATGCTCACACTATGTACAGCTGCTATGTATAACACAGCCACTATCTGCAGGCATTCATAAAGACTTCTCCAACACTCTTTCTTATGCTCTATGCCAGGGTCTCTCAACCTTGACTCTGCAGGAATTGTCAGCCAGATAATTCTATGTCGTGGGGGTTGTGCTTTGCTTCTGTCCACTAGATACCAGTAAAATTGCCCCTGCTGTGACAAGCAAAAATGTTTCCAGGCTTTGCCAAATGTCCACTAGTTAAAAGCCTCTGCTTTATGCCAACCTAAAACTCTGTTCACGACTCTTCATCTTTAGGAAGCTGCTAATAATTAACCTCTTTGGCACTCTAGTATTACCTATATCTCTTAAGTATCATTTATAAGGATTTTATCCATTTTGTCTTTCCCAACTTCAATATGTACATCCTGATGGCAAAGGCAGTGTTATCTTTTTAAAATATCCCTACTATATTTTATGTGCACATTTTTTATACAGTGATATCATCACTAAGCTTCCAAAACATACATACTGGTATATAAATAATTAATAGTTAACCAATAAATAACTGCACCAAAATCATAATATTCAAAGTAAAATTTTAAAATGAAACAATTCAAAAAAGCACAACCAGATTATGATGCTGGTGAGTAAAGAAACCTTTACATACCCTCAAAAGTGTCATAACTGATTCATATATAGTTAATTAAACGTTATGGTATTCTATGTTTCTTTAACAAAGGACTACTAAGAAGAGATCAACTATGGGACACCAAAAGTATTTTGCCATATTATTCACCATAGTCCATATTTTTTCTGATTTGTGTACCAACTTAATCTAAAAACACATCATTTTATAAAAATAAAGGAAAACCTACCACATCATGTGGATAAAACCGAACTGAGGTAGAACTGGATACATGAGAATCCGTGTCACTAAAATAAAATTAAAAAGACTTCATGGTATAAACAGTTTGCCAGGTAGTAGAAAAAAATAAATCCTTTAACAACTGGATGATATTTACAGTGTCGTCACTTATCTATATCAACTTCAAAATGCAAAACAGCATTTTCCTAGAGTTGTGATTAAAAACATAGCCTGTGGGTCAGAGTATCTATATTCAAATCTCACAACTGAATGAGATCTTGGACACATTATTCACCCTTTTTATACTTCAGTTTTACTAATCAGTAACATAGTACCTTTATCACAAGGCTCTTGTGACAAAATGTTTAAGAAAGCAATTAACATATTCTCTAGAACCACAATAAATTCAGCTATAATAGCTTAGAACATGACAATTCAGTTTCCACAGTTCAGCCAGGTTTAGATTTCTAAACTTTGAGACCTTACCACTATGGTGAACGCAACTGTTTTTGTCTTGAGTTAAACAAAATGGTTTTCACTGCTCAATCCTCCTATTGTTTCTACTGTTATAAAATACCTAATATGACAATTTAATCATTTTTGACACAAATTCTAAAACTGGACTAAAGGAGCTTAAAAGGTATAGTTTTCTAAATGTTCTAGCTTTTCAGATTACTTTTCATATATATGACTACAAGATCTTATCACTTTAAATAACACCTTAAAACTTAAAAAAACCAAGTGAATTGTCCATAGATGTGTAACATTTAAATAGGAGTGTCCATTATTAAATGGAGATCCTAAAATAAGAATCACTTGACCCTAGTGAAAACAATTCACTAGGATTGATAAATGGTAAGATTAAAATTTTACAAAAAAGGATCTAACACATTCTAAACTGTAATTATGGTGTATGATACAGGTTTCGAATTTCTTATTTGCTTGTCTAACCTCCCCGTTATCTTATGTAATTCCTTTCTAAGGGAAGGTGAAAAAAGAAACTGAATGTAACATATGACCCATAATTTAAGAATTCCTCCTTATAGCTGGTAAACAAATTTTAAAACAAAATGAGAGCTCATCATTAAGATACTTGACCATACCCTTAAAAGGAAATAAAAATTTTAAATTACATACAAGAAAAAGAGAACTGATGGGTATGAACTTACTTGTATAATTATTTTTCTAAAGGGTTTTTTTAATATCATATATTTATCATAAAATCTTATATTTGTAACTGCAAACCACTGTCCCACTGTAAGATCAACAGGAAATTTTTTACTTAATTTTTAAAAACACAGAATAGCTTTTAAGAATAACGCCTTCTTTTTTTCCATTGCAACATCCTACTTTACCTCTTTAGAGATAAATGCACAATAACAAATCACTTAAGCCAATATAAAAAATATTTTCAAAACATCATTTTCATATAAGGGCTTACAAACTTTACACACACTCTCCTAAAACAATTTCGCACATACCAGATATTGGATGCTCTTCTTGCTGCTGGTTCAAAATTCACAAGTGACATATCACAACCACCAGTCTCATAAAGCGTAGAAGAGAACTTACCTAGTAAATAAACGATTTTTTAAAAAAATAATTAGAATACTCAGAATTTTTCCTTCAAGAAATACTACGAGGGGGGGACCCAAAAAAAACTGAAATTAGCTTCTAGAGGGCGGGTCCCTTGTTGTCCAGGCTTCCCCTGCGAGGTGAGTGTTCTAGGGACCCATCCATTGCTGCGCCAGCTGGTGGTGGTGTGAGAGGCTGCATTCAGCGTCAGTAAATTTTTTCTGAAGACTCAACATGTTCGCCCGTTTCATGACAGGTGATTTACGAGGACACCTACTCACACTGTGCTGAGTGTTCGGCAGTTTTTGACCAAAAACAGCATGACCCTTCCCTATTCACCCCTGGTGACTTTCTTTTTTTTTCCCTGGATGAAAAAAAAAGTCCACACAGGGACAGTTTTGCTGATGTGGAAGAGGTGAAACAAAAAAATGGCAGAAGCAATAAAAGGCATCAAAATCAACAATTTCAAAACCTTCTGAGCAGCAGCAGAACGCCCCCGTAGGCGTGCTGCACCAGACGGAGAGCCCTTGGAAGGTGACCGAAGTTTACACATGGAAGAACACATACACAATTTTTTATAAACAAATTCCGGGTTTTTTTGGGCCCCCCCTCGTAAATTTTAAACTCGTTACAATTTAAGAAAATGTACTATAACCTTCTTTTTCCAAAATATTTTAAAAGAAATGACTGGTACAGAATTCAGCATGTGAACTGAAAAGGAAGGCTACACAGTGGTACAAAATTTCAACATACATAATCAGGCTTTAAAAGTAAGGGACTGAAGTCAGCTTTGCAATACCAGTCTCCTCTTTTCTCCTCCCAGCACATTCTTAAGTAATCATATGAATGACTTTATGTTCTTTCAAAGTCACCTGACCACTACTTGCTCGTGGTGAGTGGCCATTTAGAAGGCTGGTTAAATTTTAGGACAGTTCAAACTGCAAGACAACAAATGTGTGTGATTAGCTTCAGAGCTTGTCTGTCTGTTTAGGAAAAAAATGAAGACTGTCAAAATGGATATAAGGATAAAGTATAATAATGTTGGTATTTAAACCACAGTATTTAACAAATGTTACTAATTGTATGATTCCATAAGAACTTGAAAAAATTTAGGAACACCATATGCTTTAGCCAAGTATCGCTACTAAACTAATAAAAAATTTAGTAATTATGTTGGTTGCAAAGAAATATAGGTTAAAAAATACACTCTTATAATGAAGTCTATAAGATCATTTATGCCTGATAGTGGAATTTTAAAAATCTGGACACTGTTGAAAATTCATTCCCTTCTCTGACAATCTATGGCAGACCTATCAATTGTGAGTTAAGGGGCTAAATAATGAATATAATTTTCCAGTAAGGCAATGAGAAAAGGTACATCTCTCTAAAACCATGTGGGTCTAGTTCAGGCTGCTTTTTGAGTAGTTATAAGGTTTTTGTTTTACTAGCTGGAATTACTGTTATGAATATGAAGAATCTTAAAGGGCAATTTCACCTTCATGGCAGGGCTGAGAGATTTCCTTTCCATGACTACATTGAAAACAGTATACAATAAGGATCTTTATTTAAGTGAAAACATTGAAAAATGACAACAAAGGTTCTCATACTAATAAGAATGTGCAGGACAATTCCAAAAATTACTTCATTATTTAAAAGAACTAGAATTTTTAAAAAAAATAGTACTTTAATAGGATTATTTGAGCATTTTCTACGGATCAGACAGAACATGCAAATATTTTATTATGGTATTTTCTTATAATAGCAATTTTTTTGTCAGAATAATATACTCTTGTGATAAATAAGAAAAAAGGCATTCTGGAAGAGGCTCAGTTCATTTCCTGTTTTTCAAGGGAGGATTATTCATCATGTGGTTTATCCAAAGCTGCTGTTAGTCATGAGTCATTCACTCTAAGTATCTCTAAAAGAAACCAGATTAATAAACTAAAATTAAATGATCCAACCTGTCATTCTGGCTACTTCTCACATGTATTACTGACAATTTTTTTTGAAGTGGTAGCGTGGGTTGCAGAAATTGTTAGTGAAGAAAAAAATCAAATAAAAATACTGGTTTGACTGAGATTTAAAAATTATTTTTAAATTGCAATTTTTTTATGGTTTGCTCTTTCCTCACTCATCGTGGATAATCAAAAATTGGTTATGCTACTATAATTAACGTACATTAATAGAAAAAAACACCTTATCAAAATCACAGATTGCATAAATGCACAAGAGTTATAAACCCATGCCAATAGCTAAATCACAAAGAACAAAGAGCTGGAAGGCTTGGCTACTGCATGGGAAATCCAGTAATAATGGATGCATACGTATGCTTATCTCACACAAGTTGTATTTTAGAAATAAGTTAATTCTATGTTCAATAGCATTTAAATTATTAAAGTATATTCTGAGCATTTAAACATTCCTGTTCTTGTGATAGTGAATAAATATTTATATGTAACTGAAATCAACTAGATATGACTCTGTAATTTTCCTATGGAAAAGTAAAAGAATATTAAGTCACTATACAACTATGTCTTTTATGTACAGATGTCTAATATGAAACTTTTACAAAAATAGTCGCATTTTAAATAAATACAAACATAAAAATAAGGCATGTCCCCCCAAAAGCTTTTTAGATAGAAAGCTGGAAAATTGAGCAGTTTCATTATTACATAAATCTACAACTCTGAATGCCTTTATACAAACCAGTAACTAAATAAGTAATAAAACGTAGCATAAAACATGTCTAAGAAAAGAGCAGCTATAATTTTAACAAATGTGCAGACCTCAACAGTATTTTTTTATTTTTTCCTAAGAAGCTTTTGCCTACCTACTAACTTTAAGAACATGTTCGGGTTCCTAAAAAATATACATGGACATGTCAGGACAAACTAACATCCTATTAACACCTCACAGTGTATTCCCCAATTTACTCTACCAAAAGAAGTTCCCTTATACCCGTGGGCTTGGCAACTGACAGCACTTCAGAAGTGACAAATTTTATTCAGAAACTAGGCACCTCAGAGAAAAATAATTACACTAAAAAATATGTAGCTTAAGGCTTCAGTGAAAAACTTAGTAACACTTTCATGTATTAAGATGATCATTTAAAGGCATCTTCAAAAATAACCAGAATAGAAATAAGTATATACTGTTTTGGTTTATAAAGATGAAGAATATCTTAAATTTGTCCAAATCTTCTTAGCATGCATAACAATTTTATATACAGAGTCCGGCACAAATAACACCTTTTTTATTACAAAATCATAAGCATGTAATTCTGCAACATAACAGTATCATACTCAAGCACACCATATGATATTTTAGGTGAAATGTTCAAATTAAAACTATAAATTATTATCCTGCCAACTACACTTAGGCAGGCGTTACTTCTGCCAGACCCTGTATATCTTATTTGAAATTAAAACCATGACCATAGTTAACATTTGTATCCAAAGTAACACGTGACCTTACTAGTAACCCTATCTTAACATTATTCTGTATTAGGAAAAGTACTTTAATTTAATGACTTCTAATGATCAGGAATTGGGAAAAAAGTAGAACATCAATGCAATATGTTCTCTCTTTTTTAAAAAAAAGATTTTATTTATCTTCAGAGAGATGGGGAGAAAGAAAGAAAGGGAGCGGAGCATTGGTGTGAGAGAGCAACAAGTGGCTGCCCCTCGCCAGCCCCCAGTTGGGGACCTGGCCCGCAATGCAGGCGTATGCCCTGACTGGGGATCGGGCCTTTTGGTTCACAGACTGGCACTCGGTCCACTAAGCCACACCAGCCAGGGCTGATAGGTCCTCTTCACATGAATTATGATTATAAAGTAAGTCATCTCCTCATAATTTAACTTCCAGATCATAATTATATCTAATAGAATGGCTCTATCATAATTTTAAAAAGAAAAATCTATTTCTGACAAAATAAACAATAAGGAGGGCAAAATTTAAAACTTAATAATGATATTGGCTATGACACAACACCTCCAAAGATAAAGAAAAAAAATTAACGTTATCAGCATTTCTCAGTCTTGAATATTCCAGAACAACTAATAGCTATAAAAATTTAATTTAAAAAAATTTAAAAAGTAATTTAATTACACCAAACTATTTTCTTGAGACAGGAGAATTTCAACCATAGGTCAATTTATAAATGATGACCAACAGGAAGACGAGTGAAATTGAATACTGACTTAAGAAACATGGACATTTGAAGCATGTACCTGAAGGCATAAAGAGTGCACCGGACAATTCAAATAATCACTGGCAAAAAACTGATAAAAGACATGAGAAATGAATGGGATTCTCTAACTTGTCCTATCAATAAAAGTCTTCACCACATAACATGAAGTTAAATGCATAAAGACTATAAGGCTAGTGCTGGCCTAAGAAACCCAACTATTTGGTTCTTGTCGTCACTCCGATTTTACCTGTGTATCTTAGAAGGAGACAGGTACTAGAAGGATAAACCATCTGCAGGGTTGTTCTAATCATCCCAGAACCAACGACACAGCAGGGCTCTTAAATTTCCTGGATGATTTTCTTTTCTGACAATCATCCTATTCAATATGCACCCTCCAAACCTAATCCTGACACGTCTTAATTAACTACACTTCTCTAGTATTTCTCTTAGGGCAGACAGGGCTGGCAAAGAGAAATACAAGGGAGGTGACTTTATAAAGTGTGTTTTTAGAAGGCTATTAAAGTACCACATATATCTATCTATATGACTAACCTAAGTAATCTATGAAAAGTGCTCATTTCTGATGGTGATAAGGATTGAATATATTACTATGCTTTTGAGAGAAGGCCTTTAAGGTTAGTTCCAATTTCTTGAACAGCATCCCCCTTATTATCATGAGTGGTGACTATGAGTCTCTGAGAAAACATGAGTTTTCACGCAGACAGAAATGACTCATTTTATTGCTGCTTATAGGTTAATAGACTTGTTTTGCCTAGACAAGAAGTCAGGAAATTTTCTGTAGAAGACC